ACTATAATATTGGATGTATGAGGGAGGGAAAGTAGAGGGGATCATAACATTTGATAACTAAATCCTTATCTTCCATAATAAGTAGTCAATAAATAAAGTCTAAAGTTGAGTAATCAAAAGATAACAGTAAATACAAATTCCTTACAAAAATGGAAATGTGTAAATACTAGAAAAAAATAGCTAAAACAAATTGAAAGTTGTTGCTTCTGGAGTAGAGACCTGGAGGGATTGGAGTGGGATAAGGTAAGGAAATACCTTTTTGTTATAAGCCAATTACTATTACATTTTAAAAAAGATTTTATTTATTTATTTGACAGAGAGAGAGCACACACAAGCAGAAGGAGCTGCAGGCAGAGGGAGAGGAAGAGGGAGAAGCAGACTCCCAGCTGAGCAGAGAGCCCGCTGTGGGGCTTGATCCCAGACCCTGGGATCATGACCTGAGCCGAAGGCAGATGCTCAACTGACTGAGCCACCCAGGCTATTTAAATCTATTTAATCTATTATACTATTTAAATCTCAGAACAATGTCCATGTTTTATTTTTAAAAAATCAATTAACTTATATAAGAAGTATACACACTATTGAAAGGAAAATGCCAGACCAAACACATGGGCAGTGATGTTGCTTTGGTGAAATCCAGGTTAACTATACTTAGAATATTAAAATTATTTTCTAATCATAGATAGACTTTCAAGAGAGAAGTGTTGATTAGGTTGAGTAGTTTGGGCTCTACTGGGGCAGTACAAAATGCCGTATCAGAGACAGCCACCTGTGTGGTGTAACAAACCTCTTACAAATGTCCATTAGACCCTGGCTGTCTCCATCAGACTTAGTCTTGAGGGCAGGAACTATAATACAGCCTATCTTTTCACTGCCTGGACCATAGTCAAGCACCCAACAAGGGTGTGATGAAAGTGAATGCATGTGCACTGAGAACAAGAAAAGATAGGTGGGGAGATAGCAGTTAATGAATGACCTGTGATTTGGAATCAGAACGAATTCTGAGTTCCTTCTCTGTCACTTATTACCTGTGTGAGTACAGACAATAAACTTACTTGACCTATGTATTGATAAAATAGTGAGAAATAATAGTTCCTACTTCAGAGAATTGTTCTGAAGATTAAATGAGATCATGCATACAAAACCTTTCATAGAGTCTGACACATTGTAGCTCTAGATAAATGGAAGCTATAACTATTACCAAATGGAGACCCTGGAATTTCTTGCATTGACCCAAATGATTGTTAATATAAACATTGTTCAGGTATTTCCTGAGAAAAAAAGAAGAAATTAGCTTTTTTTTTTTTTTGGTCTACCATGTACTAGCCACTTTATACATATTATTATTTTAATCTTCACAATAATAGTAATCATTATTATGTCCATTATACAGATAAGGAAACCAAGATAGAAAAAGGTTAAGTAATTTCCTTCCAGCCCTCATATATTTATTGAGTGACTACTTTGTGTAAGGCTGTGTTAAAGAACACCAAGAAAACAACACTGAATAAGACAATCCACAGTCCCTGATGAAATTTACATTCTAGCAGAGTAGAGAGACAATACACTGACAATGTAATCACAGACTGTAATATGTGTTATGAAGGAAATAAACAGAGTCTTGAAACAGGAGTAAAATGCTTTAGATAGGGTGGCCAGGAAAAGCCTTTTAAAAGAGAAAGTGGAGCTGAGATCTGAAGGATAAGAATGAGTAAGTCATGCAAAGAACCAAACTAAAAGAGATATGCAAAGGCCTGTCTACAAGAGAGCACTTAGAAGCTCTGGAGCATGGTAGTGAGCTATGTGGTTAGTAGCAGGAGTTGATGTTGGGATAGGCAAATGCGGTATAATGAAGGCCTCACAGGACATGGTCAGGAGTTTGGATTTTATTCAAAGTTCAAGGAGAAGCTATTGTGAGGTTAAAAAGTAAATGAAGGGCATGGTCTGATTCTTTTAAAGGATTCTTCCCTTTGCTGAGTGAATGCAGTGGGGAGAGGAGAAAAGAGCCCATGTAGGAATACTTAAGGACAGTGTTTCAGAGAAGGGATAGAGACTTGGCCTACAATTGACAGAATGGGAGAGGATATTTGCAAATGTCTTATCAGATAAAGGGGTAGTATCCAAAATCTTTTTTTTTTTTTTTAATATTTTATTTATTTATTTGACAGAGAGACACAGCGAGAGAGGGAACACAAGCAGGGGGAATGGGAGAGGGAGAAGCAGGCCTCCCGCAGAGCAGGGAGCCCGATGCAGGGCTTGATCCCAGGACCCTGGGATCATGACCTGAGCCGAAGGCAGACGCTTAACGACTGAGCCACACAGGCGCCCGTAGTATCCAAAATCTATAAAGAACTTACCAAACTGAATACCCAAAGAACAAAAAATCCAATCAAGAAACGGGCAGAAGACATAAACAGACATTTCTCCAAAGAAGACATACAGATGGCCAACAGACACATAAAATAATGCTCAACATTACTCAGCATCAGGGAAATATGAATCAAATCCACAATGAGATACACCCTCCCACGGGTCAGAATGGCTAAAATCAACAACACAGGAAATGACAGATGTTGTGAGGGTTCGGAGAAAGGGGAACACTCTTACACTGTTGGTGGGAGTGCAAACTGGTGCAGCCACTCTGGAAAACAGAATGAAGGCTCCTCAAAAAGTTGAAAAGAGGGGCGCCTGGGTGGCTCAGTCGTTAAGAATTTGCCTTTGGCTCAGGTCATGATCCCAGGGTCCTGGGATCGAGCCCTGCGTCGGGCTCCCTGCTCAGCAGGAAGCCTGCTTCTCCCTCTCCCCCTCCCCCTGCTTGTGTTCCTGCTCTCGCTATCACTCTCTGTCAAATAAATAAATAAAATCTTAAAAAAAAAAAAGTTGAAAAGAGACCTACCCTACAATCCAGCAATTGCACTACTGGGTACTTATCCCAAAGATACAAATGCAGTGCTCCGAAGGGGCACCTGTACCCCAATGTTTATTAGAGTAGCCACGTCCACAATAGCCAAACTATGGAAAGAGCTCAGATGTCCATCAACAGATGAATGGATAAAGAAGATGTGGTACACACACACACACACACACACACAGTAGACTACTACTCAGCCATCAAAAAAAAAAATACGAAATCTTGCCATTTTCAACAACATAGATGAACTACAGGGTATTATGCTAAGCCAAATAAGTCCATCAGAGAAAGACAAATACCATATGATCTCACTCATGCGGAATTTAAGAAACAAAACAGAGGATTATTGGGAAAGGGAGGGAAAAATAAAACAAGAGGAAATCACAGAGGGAGACAAACCATTAAGAGACTCTTTATCATAGGAAACAAACTGGAGGTTTGCTGAAGGGGAGGGTGGTGGGGGGAATGGGGTAACTGGGTGATGGACCGGAGGGCATGTGATGTAATGAGCACTGGGTATTATTTAAGACTGATGGATCACTGAACTCTACCTCTGAAATTAATTGAATTTAAATTAAAAAAAAAAGAGAGAGAGAGACTTGGCCTAGAGTGATGGCGGAGGCAGTAAAACCAACAGGAGTGCACTGGATGTGGTGGAGGACGAAGGAATCAAAGGTCTGGTTAGTGCCATGGGTCCAGATGAGGATTAGGGTGGTGGTAACGGGGATAAAGAGTTTCGTTTTGTACAGGTCCACTTTGAGATGCTGGTGAGCCATCACAGATAACAGTAGACACCTAGCTATGCATAATGAAGGTGATCAGCGATCCGAGCTGTATACTGAGATGTCTCCTTGGGGGAATGCCGGAAGTTAATAAGTAGAGGAACACAAAAGGCGCCTGAGAGTTTTCCATTCCATCTGGCCCTTACTTAAAAAAATTAAATGATAGGGCGCCTGGGTGGCTCAGTCGGTTAAGCGACTGCCTTCGGCTCAGGTCATGATCCTGGAGTCCCGGGATCGAGTCTCGCATCGGGCTCCTTGCTCAGCGAGGAGTCTGCTTCTCCCTCTGACCCTCCCCACCTCATGCTTTCTCTCTCTCTCAAATAAATAAAATCTTTAAAAAAAAAATTAAATGATACCTAGGTTCCTGTGGGCTAAGTGTGACCCAGAAGCTCAGCTCCTTGAGCTGACTACGGCATAGGCCCAAGATTCAGTATTTCCTGGGCCCAGGTCCTACACCTGAAGCTGTCCAGTCACCCCAAACAGCGCCAGGTCGCTCGCAATACGTCTCCGGAAAGCCGGAAGTTACCCAGCGGGGGCGGGGCCCACGGAGCGGAGCCTGCTGGGATTTGTAGGCTGACGGCTGCGGGCGCTAGCTCAAACTCCTTGAGACGCCCCGGGGGAGGGGAGGGGGATGCGGCGCCACGTAGAGGGAGCGAAGCGCGCCCTGAGCCTGCGTCAGTCGTTCCGGAATGGTAGTCCGAAAAGGCAAGTGCGGTACTGCCTTTTGCTTGGAATCATTTAACGGTGACATCTTCTCATCAGTTAAAGGATAAATTCAGAGTCCTAAAAGTGACATTTAACATCCATTTCATCGCGATTTGGTACTCGTGGTAACCCTATTTCTTAACACTTCCTAGTTACTCAAGGCTATTCTGGACGCTGCCTCCGAGAAGGGGGCTCGCTTTGGACCTCTCTCCTATGTGCTTCCATAACACTGTCGTACAATTCGCTAATAATTATAATCATGGCCAGCCTTCCTGACACTACATGTTCTAGTCTAAGCTATTTGCCCGCGCTAGCTCAATTCTCACCGAACCCTCTGAAATGGTTGCTATTATTTCCATTTTGAAGATGAGGAAATCTTGGTTTACAGACGTTATGTAACTTGGACAAGGTCACGTTGAAGAGTCACAGTGTTTACTCGCGCGTCTCCCCCATCGGACTAAGTTCCAGGCGAGTAAGGACAGACCAGCTTCTTACTTTCCCGCGGGCCACGCCCCGAGGGCGGGGGCCCTGGTGACGACACCGCGTCCCATGGTGCCCCGCGCGCCCAGGGCGCTGCTATTGGCTCGGCGTCTCGGCTCCTTTTTCAAATTGAGGCGCCGAGTCGTTGCTGTTTCCGAGGCTTCGGGCGGAGACGATATTGGTGGTTCTGAGGCTCCCGCTAGTGCGGGACAGGCGCCTCGGTCAGTCAGAGCCCCTGGTGGAGAGCGGAGACGTCGAGCTGCTCGCGTGGCTTTCCGCGGCCACGTCAGTACGCGGCGGGGGAGGTGGGCACCCAGGCCGCGCCGACCGCAGGGCCCCTCCGCGCCCCACAGCTCCCGAGTCCACAGCCAGGCCTTGACCTTCGCGCGGGGATCGTCATGGCGTCCCAGCCGAATTCCTCCGCGAAGAAGAAAGAGGAGAAGGGAAAGAACATCCAGGTGGTGGTGAGATGCAGGTAGGGCGAACCCGGCAGGATTGGGAGTGCGGGGCTTTGCTGCTAGGCTCCCTCCTGTGTTGTCCGGAGAGAGGAATTTTGTTTGCAGTTTCTGCGGGGAGCAGACCTTCCTGTTTCGCAGTTTTCCGCATTCGGTCGATAAAAATGACACCAGATTGCTGTGAGTAAATTAGTGCCTGTTTCCGAAGAAAGGGTATTTGTACAGGAGGTTATATTTTAAACCGCTATTCAGAAGGAGAATTTGATCGCGGGTCTTTAGGGAAAAGTATGTTCTTTTAAAAAACTAATGTTGGAAAAGATTTAGGTGGCACTTGTATATGCCACTTCTTGCAGTTTCTCAGTTTGGAAATAAGACTGCATACCTGCTTTGCAGGTGTTTTAGTACTGATGTTGGGATTACCGTCCTCTCCATCATTTCTAAAAGCACAATCGATCATTTGTTCCCTTTCTTGTAGATACTATGTTTTCTTAATCCCTACCAAACAAGAAAACATCATTATATTTAAATTTTAAAGATTAGCTTATAGAGTGAGTTTATGTTTTTAAAAGGAGACAACTTAAGCCAGTATAGCTTTCTGATTGTACTGCAACTTGGTCTTAGACCAAAGGAGATAGTTTCTTCGGGGTGAGTGGGGTGGAGGTGTTCAGCTCTCCCCAGATTGGTTTCCAAATAACTCCCCAATTTTAAAATTAGTAGAGGAAGAACATACTCGTTATACAAACTGTTGCTTAATTAGAGATTGATTTATTCAGCTTTTTAGAAGCCCTCCACAGTTTACTGGTCTGTGTGTTTTGTGTGTCTGTTTTTGTTGCTGTTGTTTTAAAAATTCTACCAACTATCAGCAACTTTTCTGTAAATCCAAAAGTTCTAAAATTTTTAAAAAGGGGTTATTTTTAAAATGTGTGAAGAAACTGTCTTAAATTATTGCCTCCTCAGCTTTGGTGACTTGAATTGTAGATGTCAAAGATAATAGCTAGCTTTCTGAACTAGGTGTCAGAGAGAAAATTTGATGGTAACCTTAAGTTCGACCACTTACTAGTTGTACTCTAGAGCTTCTGTTAACAGTTACTTGTTTTGAAGATTGAAAAAAAAATAACAGCCTGTAATGAAAAATGCAAATTTTTATTTATTTTTTAAAGATTTTATTTTTAGGCAATCTCTACACCCAGTGTGAGGCTCGAATTCACAACCCAGAGATAAGAGTTGCATGCTGTACCTACTGAGCCAGCCAGGCCCCCACAGACGCAAAGTTTTAGATTATTTTGATTGTTTAATAAGGCTAGACAATACTGCTTTTTCTGGATGGTTTTATTTTCTTTAATTTTCGTTTTTATTGTTAGTTACAAAATATGTCAGACCTATAAAAAGTTATGGAGAACAAAGTAACAAACATCTGTGTGTCCATCACCTAAATTAGAAACAAAACAATCATTACAATTGGAGCCCCATTGTATCCCTCTCCAGCCCCCTTCCTCTCCCCAAGAATTAAACATTATTCATGTTTATTATCCCCATACATTTCAAGTCTTACCTAAAAAGAGATTTCTTTTACTTTGTCATTCATGAAAAGTGCTTAGGTTGTGTCTAATTATTTACAGTAATTTTTGTATAAAGAGATGTTTTTCTTTTCATGCTTTCTTTTCTTTTTCAAATATCTTTCCTAGGGCAAATATGTCCTTAAGCTTTAGTAAGTAAACAATTTATGAGGCCCTCGAGGTTGTCAAACCTTTTCTGTAAAGGGCTCACATAGTAAATATTTTCAAGTATTTTAGGCTTTGCAAGCTACATGTAGTCTCTGTCACATATTCTCTGATTTTTTTTTAATTTTACATTTTTAATTGGCACAGTTTATTGTAACCTAAGAGGTCAGCAAGATTTCAAGAGAGAGATGACTTTATTACTTAATTACAATGAATACAATCTTTATTATGTCCTTTACTAGTATTATAACCATATGAAGAGAATTTTTTATTCTACCTATACACAGCTCAAGAGAAAGATATAACTTCTGGAATTGAGGAACTGATAGTTTTTATAGAGAGAAGTTTTAATAAGGAAATAGGCTTTGATATATGTATATACAAAGACATATATGCAAAACATTCCTCCCCCTTGTATAAGTGTGCAGGTTTGCATAAGTCCTATTAAGAACATAATATAAAGGTTTTAGGATTTAAGTTAATTTTGGCATTTGAATCTAGACAAGTGCTTTAGCAATTTAGATCTGAACTTTTATGAATCATTCATATATTTTAAAAGTGTATAATTGTGTTTTATTTATTTATTTTTTTTAAAGATTTTATTTATTAATTTGAGACAGAAAGAGAGAGAGCACGAGCAGGGGGAAAGACAGAGGGAGAGGAAGAAGCAGACTCCCCACTAACAAGGAACCCCATGAAGGGCTCAATCCCAGTAACCGGGGATCATGACCTGAGCCAAAGGCAGATGCCCAACCATCTGAGCCACCCAGGCGCCCCTAATTGTGTTTTTAAAAAGGCCCAGACCAGCTTTCCTTAAACAGTAACCCAGTGTGATGCTATAGTTACCAAACGGAGAACAAGACTGTTAATTCTATATTAAATCAGCAAAGGATATTTTAGAGAAAGGACAACTTGGAAAATGAAGACTTCAGAGTTCATTATTCCAAGTTCAGAGCGTTTTAGTTATTAGCAGTGGTTACCAAATAAGCTGAAGGTCGATCTCTTTAAGGAGCTGCTTGTAATTAGCTTTGTTAGGAAGAGACACAGAACTGTTTCATTCTTCCAGTTTAAGATGATACAGATTTTTTTTTTTTAATTTTTTTTTTTTAAGATTTTATTTATTTGCGAGAGAGAGAATGAGAGACAGAGAGCATGAGAGGGAGGAGGGTCAGAGGGAGAGGCAGACTCCCCGCTGAGCAGGGAGCCCGATGCGGGACTCGATCCCGGGACTCCGGGATCATGACCTGAGCCGAAGGCAGTCGCCCAACCAACTGAGCCACGCAGGCGCCCCAAGATGATACAGATTTATCCTTGAGAAGATTTTCTGAAGTTGGTATCCCTGTCAGCAAAGAGTCACCCCTGGCATGCTCCTCACAGTAGAACATAAGGTCCGATGATGCCATTGAAACCTTTGTTCTTTTATGGAGGCTTCTGATCTCAACTGCTGCACAGTTCTTGCCTGGGCTATGTTTGTTGGTGCTTGCTGTTTTGCTGGACATCTTTTACCTGAAATCAGTAAGACTGTGTGGTCTGTTGTTTTCAGGTTTTCAGTGGTGGAATGAATCTGCTAAAGAACTGCTACCACTGCAGTATCTGATTTTTTTTTTTTTTTTTTTTTTTTTTTTTATTAAACAACCCTTTAAAATTGTAAAAATCAATCTAGGTCTCTCGTATGAAAAGGACCAGGTTTGGCTCACAGATTGAAGGTTATAGACCCCTCACATGATCTAACTACTGGCTATCTTTATTACACCCTACTTAACTCCCCTGTGGGCACCGCCCCCCCCCCCCAATCTACCAGGCTCTACCACAGGGCCTTTGCAATTTCACTCTGCCTAGAAAGCTTTCCCACCAAAATAGCTACATGACTGGCTCCCTCACTTTTTAGATTCTGCTTAAATATCATTAAATATCAGAGAAGAGAAGCCTTCCCTGACCACCCTAAAATAGTAATAGCAACTGCCCATTTTCCCCCATCATTAATTCCAATCCCACTTAATCTGTTTTATTTACTTTGATATATCTATTTATAACACTAGGATAAAAGCTCCCTGAGAATAGGAACTTGGGTGTTTTGGTTTTTTTTGAAACTTGGTTTTGTTCACTGGTATATCCTCAGTTCCTAAACAAATATCTACCACATAATACATACTAGATGAATATTTATGGAATGAATAAATGAATATAATGTAACTGTAGTGAGGCCAACAAATTGATGGGTTTAACATCATTAACAGGAACCTTACAATTTCTAATTAGAGAAGTTTGGTTAGGAATATAGTGGCTTTGCAATACTTTTTATTATAGTACAAATAGTCCTTAAAGCTCTTCAGTGGGAGTTTTGATAACTTTTAGAAATGTGTAATCTTTGTGATTATCTACTACTTGGTTGTGACATCTTGAATGGTATTCATGTGGTTAACATCATCACACATCCAGGCAGAGATTAGTTGAGAGATGCTAAGAATATAGACTAATTGCAAAACCTTTAACCACATGAGAGCAATTCATTCTACTTGATACTCTTGGCCTACCTCAGTATAAGTTGGTTTTGACTTAGGTTTGTTGAACTTTTAATAATATTGCATGTCATGGGTTATGTGCATTCTGTAGGTTTCACTACATTTGACAATCGATAGCATTATTATATATTACCAGGAAGTTGGTGAGTTAAATTTCCCAGGATCACAAATTTGGTTTTCTGACTCTCAAAAATATACTAGGGATGGGGCATGCCAGAGGATGTTGAGGTATCATTTTTAAAATAAACAGCAACTTGGTTTGTCTAGTGATGAGGAGAAAGATAATTTCCTATTTGCCATTTCCTTTCATAATATGTGATACTGAATGGGAAAAATGAACTCAGGTCAAGAATACATTTCTCTCTTTGGTCCAGATGTGTGTTAGGTATATGCATATCTGAATGATGCCACTTCGTGGACTATGGTTCTTTTCAGCTCTTCCATCATTCCTCTTAGGATGACATTTATTAAGTATGTAGTTTAACAGATATTAGGATGCCTCCTATGTGCCAAGCACAGTAGGAGCCACTGGGAAACTGTAAACTAAATAGGATATCTTTTCTTTTCTTTGAAAGAGAGGGGGCATGTGTGTGAGCGAGTAAGGGCATGGGGAGGCAGAGGGAGAGAGAATCCCAAGCAGGCTCCATGCCCAGCACAGAGCCAGCACAGGGCTCAATCCCACGATCCTGAGATCATGACCTGAGCAGAAATCAAGAGTCAGATGCTCAACCCACTGAGCCACCCAGACGCCCCTAAGCAGGATTTCTTTTCCTACATTGTGAGGTTGGTGCTATTACTTAGTCCCATTTTTCAAATGGGGAAGTATGCACACAGGGCTACATTGCCCAAGCAGATTGGATCAAGAGTCCTCACTCTACAGAAAGCCCAAGAAGGAATTTAGCTTAGAAGATTACTTCCTTTGGGAGTCTTTCCCATCACCCTCCCTGTCCCAGTCAAATTTTTGCTATATATTCCTACAGCACCCTTTACATACCCTTTCTAAACATTACTTCTCTCTCTCTCTCTTTTTTTTAATATTTTATTTATTTATTTGACAGAGAGAGAGAGATAGCGAGAGCAGGAACACAAGCAGGGGGAGTGGGAGAGAGAGAAGCAGGCTTCCTGCCGGGCAGGGAGACCGATGCGGGGCTTGATCCCAGGACCCTGGGATCATGACCTGAGCTGAAGGCAGCCGCTTAACGACTAAGCCACCTAGCCGCCCCTAAACATTACTTCTTGCATAATCATTTGTTTTATGTTGCTATTCCCCACTAGGACAAACTGAGTTAACACATGTGAAGCATTTTGAATAGTGAGTACCTGACATATAGTAAATACTCAACGTATTAGTCATTATTTTTATCTATTTTTTATCTTGTGCCAGTTATCCACTGACAGGTTAGTATTTTGAACACAAATTTGTCATGTTCTTTCTACTGCGTCATAACATAACTTTCTCAGACTGTAAGAACAGTGGAAATAGAAATCTGAAAAATAAGTTTGGCATTTTTTTTTACAAGTTAATTCTGTTAACATCTACTCCAAGAAGCTGTCAGAATTGTCATGTTTTACATGTCTTTGAAAAGTAAAAAACCTATTTTTTATTTCTGGGAGTAGAAACTAAAAATTCTGCTTTAGCAGTATCATTTAGTCCCCCATTTAATCCTTGTCACCAATACTGTTGTCAAAAAACTTTACTTTGTTATTATCTAAGGTATTAATGACAATGTCATCTGTAACCTGATAACTAAGAGTTTTTAAAATAACTTTGTACATTTCTTTTTATAGACCATTTAATTTGGCAGAACGGAAAGCTAATGCCCATTCTGTAGTAGAATGTGATCATGTACGAAAAGAAGTTAGTGTACGAACTGGAGGATTGGCTGACAAGAGCTCAAGGAAAACATATACTTTTGATATGGTACCTATTTCTTTTTTTTTTTTTAAGATTTTATTTATTTAATAGAGAGCATGTGCGGGAGAGTAGGGTAGGAGCAGAGAGAGGAACAAGCAGACTCGTGCTGAGTGCAGAGCCCAACATGGGGCTCGATCTCACCACCCTGAGATCAGAACGTAAGCCAGTATCAAGAGTCAGATGCCCAACCGGCTGAGCCACCCAGGTGCTCCTGGTACCTATTTCTTAAAATGCTGCTACTTTTATTATTTATTTTATTATTTACTATGTAAATAATTATTTATTTTTTTATTTATTTACTTTATTATTTTTTAATTTACTATGTAAAGTTATTCTCAGATACACATTTCCTCTAGGTTCTAGTGTACGATTCCAAGTTTCAGTTGACTGAGTTGTCGTATGGTTTCTAGTGGGCTGAATGAGTTAATATATTAAAAACAAAATTTTTTTTTTTAAGATTTTTATTTATTTATTGAGAGAGAGAGAGAATGATAGAGAGCATGAGAAGTAGGAGGGTCAGAGGGAGAAGCAGACTCCCTGCTGAGCAGGGAGCCTAATGCGGGACTCGATCCGGGGACTCCAGGATCATGACCTGAGCCGAAGGCAGTCGCCCAACCAACTGAGCCACCCAGGCACCCCTAAAAACAAAATTCTTTTTTTTTTTTTTTTAAAGATTTTATTTATTTATTTGACACAGAGAGAGACAGCAAGAGAGGGAACACAGCAGGGGGTGTTGGGAGAGGGAGAAGCAGGCTCTCCGCGGAGCAGGGAGCCCGATGTGGGGGTCGATCCCAGGACCCTGGGATCATGACCTGAGCCAAAGGCAGATGCTTAACGACTGAGCCACCCAGGTGCCCTAAAAGCAAAATTCTTTTTTTTTTAAAAGATTTTATTTATTTATTTGACAGAGAGAGAGAGAGAGGGAACACAAGTAGGGGGAGTAGGAGAGGGAGAAGCAGGCTTCCCGCAGAGCAGGGAGCCCAATGTGGGGCTCAATCCCAGGACCTTGGGATCACGACCTGAGCCGAAGGCAGACTGAGCCACCTAGGCGCCCCTAAAAACAAAATTCTTAAAGTGAGTAATTTTGGAGTATTTTTTTTCCTGAAGAATTGCTTTGATTTTTTTTTTTTTTTTTTTTTTTTTGGGATAGGTTTTTGGAGCTTCTACTAAACAAATTGATGTTTACCGAAGTGTTGTTTGTCCAATTCTGGATGAAGTTATTATGGGTTATAATTGCACTATTTTTGCGTGAGTAAAACACTATTTTTCAAATTGCTGAAAAGGTTTAGATGCATGTATTTGTTTTCTAATTAACACTTTTGTTAATTTTGACAGATATGGCCAAACTGGCACTGGAAAAACCTTTACAATGGAAGGTGAGAGGTCACCTAATGAAGAGTACACTTGGGAGGAGGTATTTATTGTTTATAATAGATTTCTGTCTCTAAAGTGGTTGAAATATAACTGAATAGAAAACTTGGTAGAAGGCCTCTTTCTTGAAATAGAGAAGATCAATATACCCATGTCAAACATGATTGTAGGATAAACTACTATTTTAGCAAAATTAAAGTATATGGTATAGTTCCTGTTTAAGAAACATAGCGTCATTAGGAGAGAAAGGACCAATACATACGGCACAGTTAAGTGATAAGAGAGGGGTCTGTTTGAGACAGAATAGTTGGAGTAGAATATTGTGGAAACTGAGCCACCCAGGTGCCCCTCATATTTGTTTTCAAATATATCATTAAGGAGGCCCTTGTTATATGTGTTTTAACTGCCATAGTAAATGGCGTTCTTCCCTTATTTTAGTCCTTATTAATATTATAATTTCAGGATCCCTTGGCTGGTATAATTCCACGTACTCTTCATCAAATTTTTGAGAAACTTACTGATAATGGTACTGAATTTTCAGTCAAAGTGTCTCTGTTGGAAATCTATAATGAAGAACTTTTTGATCTCCTTAATCCATCTTCTGATGTTTCTGAGAGACTGCAGATGTTTGATGATCCCCGTAACAAGGTAACTTAGTCTTTGAGAATGAAGTGTCTCTGGATTTTAATGTGTGATGCTTTGAGAAATCAGTATATATATATTTTTTGTCAGACTAATGGATGATCTTTTGATATTGGTCAGAGGGGAGTGATAATCAAAGGTTTAGAAGAAATTACAGTACACAACAAGGATGAAGTCTATCAGATTTTGGAGAAGGGAGCAGCAAAACGGACAACTGCAGCAACTCTGATGAATGCATACTCCAGGTAAGAAAGCCAGTGTCCTCCCCCCACCTCTCCATTTTCTTTTTTTCCTTTTTATTATTTATTTATTTTTAAAGATTTTATTTATTTATTTGACAGAGAGGCACAGCGAGAGAGGGAACACAAGCAGGGGGAGTGGGAGAGGGAGAAGCAGGCTCTCCGCAGAGCAGGGAGCCCGATGCGGGGCTCGATCCCAAGACCCTGGGACCATGACCTGAGCCGAAGGCAGACACTTAACAACTGAGCCACCCAGGCACCCCTCCATTTTCTTTTTAACATGGGAAGTCAAATTGGGGTGGGTCAAAGTATGTGAGTCGCATACTAGATTGTATGTGTGCTTGATTTCATGCTTTAGTAATTGTCTTGAGATTTAGAGGCAAGCACCAGTATTGGAAGAATGTTGAAAAGGGAACAAAGACAAGTGAATTAGAGAAGAAGTATTAAACTTTTTAAAGTAGATTATTTTTTCTCAAATGAAATTGTACACAGGAGCCTAGATTAACATGTGCTTGCTGTAGTCGATTTGAGGGTGGGATGCTCAGAGGCTTACCTCCTCAGCCTCATGAAGGTTTTCCCTGAGCACTTTTTTGGGGTGCCCATGGATACCTAGAACAAAATTTGAAAGCCCATGGTTTAAATAAGAATTAGAAGAAAGTCAGATAGCTTCATTTGATTTTTTTTCTCCAGCTTTATTGTAGTATGATTGACAAAAATTACATATATTTAGGTTGTCCAACATTTTGGAAAAATATAAAAAAACATAAACTTTTCTCATATGGCTTCATTTTAATATAGGAAGACATGGTCACTAACACTGGCTTTCCAGGGTAGAAAGGGGCATAGCTGATAGCAGCCCCTATAGAATGAATCCCAGTTTCTAGAAAAGCAGTTTACCAAGTCAGGTGGATATTTTTTCTGCCGGTCTTTGAAGGAAGCATCAGAGTGTAATTAAAAGAGCTATGGATTGGGAGTTAGATATTTGTGTTTAGTTCTAGTTCTGGAGTTAACCAAACATGTGACTTAAGGAAATAAGTGAATTTATCTGAGTATCAGTTTCTCTGACCTACAAAATAATTATTAGAAATAGATCTCAGGGTGCCTGGCTGGCTCAGTCAGAAAAGCATGCGACTCTTGATCTCGGGGTCGTGAGTTTGAGCCCCATGTTGGGTGTAGAGATTACTTAAATAAATAAAACCTAAAAAAAAATTAGATCATTTATTTCTTTGCTCCCTTATAACTGGAAATTCCTGCAACTCTAAAAAAATTACATATACATTTAAAGAAGAAAAATAAGATGAAAGTAATGAAAATCATGACATTATGGGTGATTTTTATGATTTTAATTACATTTTCCTATAATAGCTTTCCATTTAAAAAATTATATATTGGAGGAAGGAGTTTAAGACTAAGTAATATTTCTTTTCTCTAAATACCTTTCTTTTAAATAAATTCCTGCTTTTTCATAAATTTGTGTAATTTAGGACTCTTTTTTTTTTTTTAAGATTTTATTTATTTCAGACAGAGAGCATGAGTGGGGGCTGGGGGGGGGTGCGGAGGGGCAGGGGAGAAGCAGACTCCCTGCTGAGCAAGGAGCCCGACTCTGGACTTTATTGATCCCAGGACTTTGGGATCACGACCCGAGCCGAAGGCAGATGCTTAGCCAACTGAGCCACCCAGGCACCCCTAGGACTCATTTTTTTATATGTAGACTTGAGTAAAGGTCTCTTTATGAATGTATGTGGTAAAGTGAAGGAAAACATTAAAGTTTCCAAAATCATAGTTGACTTCTATGCTTAATTGCATTAATTCCATAATCTTGGATTAGAAATGGGTAAATAATGATAGAAAAATATGAAATATATATTGAATTCAGATTTATAGTTTCTTTATATTTTTCCTGTGCCCTTCCCCTTTTCTGTAACTTTAAATAATAAATAAAATATGATGCTTACTATAAAACTTTCCAAGTAACATGAAAAGTGCAAATAAGAAAATTAAAAATTATCATATTCCTCACTAATCATCAATGACATTAACAAACATAGGAATGTTCACCAAATGTCATTGATACAGGAATAAAAGAGGTCTTTGGTTGTCTATATAACTTTTGTATCCCTCAGATAAAAACTGAATGTCAATATATAATATAAGATAGACATTGGAACACTTTATGGTCTAGTGGTGATTACCTTGTAGTATTTCAGTAATCATTGCTATTTACCATTTGCTTTTCAAGAGAGGGTGTTAACTATCTCTGATGACATTCTCAAAGCAGAGCAATATATTTTTACAACAATTGACATTGAAAGCAAGTAATCTGATGACTTGTGTGGTACTGTTTGAATTTATGGTAATGACATATTTCAAGAGATTCTTATAAATAAGAAGATTGATTGCAAGCCTTCTCCTCTGACATACCAGGCAACTGTCCCAAACCGACCCCACATCCAGCTTTTAGAGGTCTTGAGGATTCTAGTTTCTAAGTCTTTTAGGGTGTTTACAGGTAGTTTCTTTTTGGGGTCCCCTTTGGAGGCAGCAAGTACAAGAAAGCAAAAACCTAAGCATTGTCCTACCTACCCTCTGTCTTCCAAAATCTTATTAATGTCTCCTGTCTGATACTATCTTTCTCTGCCTTGTGGAGTTTGATCTTTCTTTTTTTTTTTTTTAAAGATTTTATTTATTTATTTGACAGAGAGAGACACAGCGAGAGAGGGAACACAAGCAGGGGGAGTAGGAAAGAGAGAAGCAGGCTTCCCGCCGAGCAGGGAGCCCGATGCGGGGCTTGATCCCAGGACCCTGAGATCATGACCCGAGCTGAAGGCAGTCGCTTAACCAACTGAGCCACCCAGGCGCCCTGAGTTTGATCTTTCTTTGCTCTTTTTAATATTTTATAGAAAACAAATAATGTTTTACATTATAATGACTGGACTGTCTGATCTCATTTTCTAGTCGTTCCCACTCAGTTTTCTCTGTTACAATACATATGAAAGAAACTACAATTGATGGAGAGGAGCTTGTTAAAATTGGAAAGTTGAACTTGGTAAGTATCTACCTTAATACTAGTTTCATTCTTTTTTTTTTCCCTCCAGCATTATTGAGGTATAATTGACAAATAAAATTATATATTTAAAGTGTACAATGTGATGATTTGATATATGTTCACTTTGAGAAATGAGTACCATAATCAGGTTAATTAACATATCCTTCACCTCACATAGTTACTTTTGGGGGGGCTGCTGTAAGAATGTTTAGGTCTACTCTTAGCAAATTTCAGTATAGTGTTATTAACTGTCGTCACCATAGTGTACATTAGATCCCCAGAGTTTATTCATCTTATAACTGAAGGCTTATACGCTTTGACCAGCATCTGCTTCTCCCCCATTCCCCTGCTCCTGGTAACCGTCATTCTCTCCATTTCAGTGAACTTTCCTTCTCCCCACCCACCTCCTCAATTCTACACAAAAGAGAGATCATATAGTATTTGTCCTTCTCTGTCTGGCTTATTTCACTTTGCATTACATCCTCTAGGTTCATCCATGTTGTTACAAATGGCAGGATTTCCTTCTCTCTCATGGCTAAATAAATATATTCCGTTGTATATGTATACCATATCTTCTCTATATTCTTTTTTTTTTTTATGATTTTATTTATTTATTTGATAGAGAGAGACACAGCGAGAGAGGGAACACAAGCAGGGGGAGCGGGAGAGGGAGAAGCAGGCCTCCCACAGAGCAGGGAGCCTGACACGGGGCTCTCTCCCGGGACCCTAGGGTCATGACCTGAGCCAAAGGCAGAGGCTTAACGACTGAGCCACCCAGGCACCCCCATTTCTTCTCCCTTCATTCATCAGCTGACACAGTTTCCATATCTTTGCTATTGTGAATAATGCATTGAACGTGGGAGTGCAGATATCTCTTTGAGATACTGATTTCATTTCCCTTGGATAATATACCTAGAAGTGGGATTGCTGGATCATATGGTAGTTCTTTTCAACTGTTTCATTCTTTTTTTTTTTTTGAGAGGGAGAGAGAGGTTGCAGGAGTAGAGGGAGAGGGAAAGAGAGAATCTTTTATTTATTTTTAACATTGATTTATTTTAGAGAGGAGAGAGGGGCAGAGAGAGGGAGAGAGAATCTCAAGCAGAATTCTGGCTGAGCGAGGAGCTGAACATGGGGCTTGATCTCGTGACCCTGAGATCATGACCTGAGCCAAAATTAAGAGTTGGATGCTTAATGGACTGAGCCACTCAGGCCCCCTCAACTGTTTCATTCTTGACCACCTCGGAGCAGCTTGAAATCTGTACTTCTAGACAATAGTTTTGAAGTCACTAGGTAATTAGCTTTGTAGTGGATTGTTAATTATAAAAAAATTATTTTGCTAGCTATTTAATATATTATATTTGAGAATGAAAGTCTTTGTGTCCAGATCCAGTGGAACTAACAGCCTACTTTTATTTTCGAAATTCAAGGTTGATCTTGCGGGAAGTGAGAACATTGGCCGTTCTGGAGCAGTTGACAAGAGAGCCCGGGAAGCTGGAAATATCAATCAATCCCTTTTGACTTTGGGAAGGGTTATTACTGCTCTTGTAGAAAGAACACCTCATGTTCCTTATCGAGAATCTAAACTAACTAGAATCCTCCAGGATTCTCTTGGGGGACGTACAAGAACATCTATAATTGCAACAATTTCTCCTGCATCTCTCAATCTTGAGGTAAGCCCTTTAATAGGTATCTGCAAGTGTAGTAGGTGTAATTATTATTTAGCTATCACATAATTTATTTTACTTTTTTATCACATATTTAAAAAGTTCATTAATTGGCTTCATTCATTCTAAGCAAGAGTAAAAGAATCGGGATATTACACATGGACATAGAGGAGGACACCACTGAAAAAATTGTCTTTCTCCTTCCTGGCAGAGTTTTTAATCTTAAAAAGCCAATTACTTAATGGCTTTTCCCACACAGTCTTCAAAAGAAATTGCTGTGATCATTAGCAGTGCGTGGTTACATGGGGTATGGAGATTTTTTTTTTTTTTTTTTTTTAAGATTTTATTTATTTGAGAGAGAGAATGAGTGGGGGGGAGAGGGAGAGGGAGAAGCAGACTGCCTGCTGAACAGGGAGCCTGATGGGGGGCAGGTTACAGAGATTTAAGTGAGGACTTAAAAGTGGGTTAAGTGAATGCTAGTGTTGTAGAAGCTCTTAGAGGGCACTGAAGATGGGTTGGATGTGTGAGAACAGGTGGTAAAACCAAGAGAAGCAAAAAAGATGGTGAAATCTCTTATTATGATTGTTTCCTTTAAATGGAGTTACAAAAGGTTTTATAAGGTCTCTAACTCTCCTTTCATTTTAAAAAACATCTTTACCGAGATGTAATTCACATACCATTAAATTCACCCATTAAAAATATGTAATTCGAGGGGCGCCTGGGTGGCTCAGTCGTAAAGCGTCTGCCTTCGGCTCAGGTCACGATCCCAGGGTCCTGGGATCGAGTCCCACATCAGGCTCCCTGCTCAGCGGGAGGCCTGCTTCTCCCTCTCCCACTCCCCCTGCTTGTGTTCCCTCTCTCACTGTCTCTCTGTCAAAAAAAAAAATAAAATCTTTTAAAAAAAAAGTATGTAATTCGATGATTTTAATATATTTGCTGAGCTGTGCAACCAACACTAAAGTCTGTTTAGAGCATTTTCATTACCCCAGAAAGAAACCTTGTAACCCATTAGGAATCACTCTCCATTTGCCCTCACTCCCAGCCCTAGGTCACTACTAACCTACTTTAAAATATTTTTCTTTTTTTTTTTTTTTTTAAGATTTTATTTCTTTATTTGAGAGAAAGTGCATGCACAAGCGGTGGGGAGGGGGGCTGGGAAGGGAGGGTGCAAAGGGAGAGGGAGAAGCAGACTCCCCAATGAGCAGAGAGCCCGATGTGAGGCTAGATCCCAGGACCCTGAGATCATGACCTGAGCCTAAGGCAGACGTTTAACCAACTGAGCCACCCAGGTGCCCCACCCTACCTTTTTAATCTATAGATTTGCCTAGTCTGGACATTTCGTGTAAATGCAATTATGCAATAAGTGTTCTTTTGTGACTGGCTTCTTACACCTAGCATGTTTTCAGTGTTCATCCATGTGGTTAGCATGTATCCATGCTTCATTCTTTTTTGTAGGTGAGTAATTTTCCATTGTATGGATATAGGATGTTTTGTTTATTCATCAGCTGATGGGGTTCATTGAGTGTGAAGACTGAAGTAAAAAATTCTTAGGGTATAGTGGTCCTAGTGGATGATAGATTTTTAGGTTAGATACAACCATAAATTATTTCTTGTAAGTTATTTTTTTTCTTGTAAGTTATTTTACAGTACATTTTATATAATAGAACTACATTATTCTTGTAATATCTTTGGTAATTGGCATTTTCTTCACAGGAAACTCTGAGTACATTGGAATATGCTCATAGAGCAAAGAACATACTAAATAAGCCTGAAGTTAACCAGAAACTCACCAAAAGAGCTCTTATTAAGGTAATTGTGAATTTTGGTAATTGTTAAAAGATTTGTTCAATTGCTTGTGGTAAGGCTTTTCATCTAATGATTTTAATTAATTACCTAATATATTAAAATGGTTTTTTCTAATGCTAATATGGTGACTTTACCACCTCTATCAAGTCAGCAAAATTTGCAATTATTTACATTTACAAAATTTATTTATTTGTAGCTTTAGTGTATAATCACCATACATTAATGTGGTATTAGGGTATAATTTCCATAAGACTCCTCCATTGTAAGCCTACAATGCAATGATTTTTAGTACATTTATAGAGCTGTGCAACATCACTATAATCTACTTAGGAAATTTCTTTCACTATATAGTTCCCCTTTGCCCCTTTGCAAACAGTCAGCCAGCCACTGATGTACTTTTTGTCTGTAGATTTGCCCTTTCCAGACATTTCTTAAATGGAATCATGCAATATTTGATTTTTTGCATCTGACTTCTTTCACTTAGCATAACATTGGGGCTTCATCTATGTTGTAGCATGTATCAATACTCTTTCTTTCTGTTGCCAAATGGTATTCCATTAAATGGATAATAACACATTGTGTTTATCCATTCACCAGCCAATGAACATTTGGATTATTTCCAGTAATGCTGCTATGAACATTAGCATATAAGTCTTTGTGTTGATGTATTTGCAGTCTTCTTAGGTAGATACCTAGCAGTTTAATTTCTGTGTTGCTTAATAAGTTTATGTTTAACTCTTTTAGAAACTGCTTTCCACAGTGGCTGTACCACTTTAAATTTTCATCAGCAGTGAATGTGTGAAGGTTCCAGTTTCTCCACATCCTCTCCAACACTTGTTATAGTCTGTCTTTTTAATGTTAGCCATTCTAATAAGTGTATAATTGTACCCTCAGTGTGGTTTTAATTAGCATTCCCCTAATGAATAATGAAAATGAGCATCTTTTCACATGCTTATTATCCATTTGTATATCTTTTTTGTGAAAAGTCTATCCAAATTCTTTGCCTAATTTTTAGTTGGTGTTCTTCTTATTAAGTTTTGGGGTTTTTTTTTTAAGATTTTATTTATTTATTTGAGATAGAGAGTGAGAAAGAGAGTACGAGCCATGGGGGGAGAGGGAAAGGGAGAAGCAGGCTTCCTGCTGAGCAGGGATCCCTCGTGGGGGGCTCAGTCCCGGGGGGCTCAGTCCCAGGACCCTGGGATCATGACCTGAGCCAAATGCAGACGCTTAACCGACTGAGCCACCCAGGCATCCCTTATTATTAAGTAGTAAAGAGTTGTTCATATCTTTCAGCTATAAGCCTTTATGAGATGATTTGTAAATATTTCCTCCCAGTCTGGCTTGTCTTCCTTTTCTTAGTGGTTTATTTTATTTTATTTATTTATTTATTTTTTAAAAGGATTTTATTTATTTATTTATTTGACAGAGAGAGAGACAGTGAGAGAGGGAACACAAGCAGGGGGAGTGGGAGAGGGAGAAGCGGGCTTCCTGCCGAGCAGGAAGCCCGATGCGGGGCTCGATCCCAGGACCCTGGGATCATGACCTGAGCCGAAGGCAGATGCTTAACGACTGAGCCACCCAGGTGCCCCAATTTTATTTTTTTTTTAATTGAAGTTTTCATTGAGATAATTGAGAGAAATAATACAGAAAGATCCTTAACACATTTTGTTAAACTACAGTAAAGTATCACCACAGGGATATTGACATTAATAACACAGTCCATTCATCTTATTCCTTAGTTCTCCTTGTACTCATTTATGTGTGTGTATTTAGTTCTATACAATTTTGTCACATGTGTAGGTTTGTGCATCAACCACCACAGTTAAGATACTGAGCAGTTCTATCACCACAGGGGTCCCTCCTATTGCCTTTTTTTTTTTTTTTAAGATTTTGTTTATTTATTTGACAGAGAGAGACAGAGCGAGAGAGGGAACACAAGCAGGGAGAGTGGTAGAGGGAGAAGCAGGCTTCCCGCTGGGCAGGGAGCCCGATGCGGGGCTCGATCCCAGGACCCTGGGATCATGACCTGAGCCGAAGGCAGACAATTAACCGACTGAGCCACCCAGGCGCCCCTCATATTGCCTTTTTATAATCACTTCTTTCCCACTCTCACTTCCCCTCCCTAATCTCTGGTATCCATTAATCTGTGCTCTATATCTAAACTCTTGCCATTTCGGGGCGCCTGGGTGGCTCAGCTGTTAAGCGTCTGCCTTTGGCTCAGGTCATGATCCCAGGATCCTGGGATCGAGCCCCGCATCGGACTCCCTGCTCAGCGGGAAGCCCGCTTCTCCCTCTCCCACTCCCCCTGCTTGTGTTCCCTCTCTTGCTGTGTCTCTGTCAAATTAATAAAATCTGGAAAAAAAAAAAAAAGAAAGAAAGAAAACCCTAAAAAAAATAAAATAAAATAAACTCTTGCCATTTCAAAAATGTTATTGAATAGAATCATACAGTATGTAAACTTTCGAGATTGCATTTTTCACTACTACTCAGCAGAATTTTCTGGAGGTTCACCTGAGTTGCGCACATTGATAGATCTTTCCTTTTGAGTGCTAAGTAGTATTCCGTGGTATGTATATATCATACATATAGTTTGTGTAACCATTTACCTGTTGAATGACATATGGGCTGATTTCAGTTTTTCACAATTACAAGTAGAACTGCTGTGAACATTTTGGTTATAGGTATCCGTGTAAACATAAATTTTCACTTTTCTGGAATGATTGCCTAAGAGTGTAAGTTATTGGGTATGGTAATTGAATATTTAGTTTTTTTAAAGAACTGCCAAGCTGTTTTCCAGAGTGGCTGTACCATTTTATATTTCCACTAGCAATATAGGAGTGATCTAGTTACTCCACATATTCACCAGCATTTGGTGTTGTAACTATTTTTTATTTTAGGTATTATGATGAGTATAATAGGTGCTAAATATCTCACTGTGGTTTTAACTTGCATTTCTCTAATGGCTAATGGTGTTGAGCATCTCTTCATGTGCTTATTTGCTATTTGCATATCCTCTTTGGTGAAATGTCTATTCATGTCTTTAGGCCCATTTTCTAATTGGGTTTTTAATGTTTTTATTAAAAAAAGTTTCAGGGCGCCTGGGTGGCTCAGTTGGTTAAGCATCTGACTCTTGATTTTGGCTCAGGTCATGATCTCAGGGTCCTCGGATTAAGCCTCACGTAGGTCTGCTTGTCTCCCTCTGACTCTGCGCTCTCTCTCTGTCTCTCTCTCAAATAAATAAATAAATCTTTGGTGGAGCTGCCTGGGTGGGTCAGTTGGTTGGGCGTCTAACTTGATTTTGGCTCAGGTCGTGACCTCAGTCGCAGAGTCATGAGATCGAGCCCGAGTCAGGCTCTGAGATGGGTGTGGAGCCTGCTTAAGATCTCTGTCTCCCTCTCCCTCTGCCCCCCACCTCTTAAAAAAAAAAAAAGAATTTATTTTATTTTTAAGTAATCTCTACACCCAGTGTGGGACTTGAACCCACAACCTGGAGATCAAGAATCGCATGCTCCACTGAGCCAGCCAGGCTCCCTGCTAATTGGATTTTTAAAAATTATTGTGGTTTGAAAGTTCTTAATGTTTCAGATACTAGTCCTTTGTCACAAATGTGGTTTGCAGTCATTTTCTCCTAGTCTGTAGTTTATCTTCTATATATGGCCCTTTTTTTTTAAAGAATTTATTTATTTAAGCTATTGAAAGACTCTATTCTAAACAGGTTAATATTGAATGAAAAGTATGATTATGACTTTTATTTTTCATGCTTTAAAAAACATAAAAGGGCGAAGTACATGTTTTATTTGTTAAATATCCTCCCCAAAATGAATGAACAAAAAGTTAAATGCTAAATTGACACCTACAATGTTCTTCTTGTGTAGGAATATACAGAAGAGATAGAGCGTCTGAAACGAGATCTTGCTGCAGCCCGTGAGAAAAATGGGGTGTACATTTCTGAAGAAAATTTTAGGTAAGACCTTGGATGTGAAAATTAATTTCCAAGAATAATCATTTCCTGATAGCAAGGTGTTTGAAGTAAAATTTACTTATGTGACAGTAACTAAAATCTTTATATCTAGTGCTTCCTATAAATGCTTCTTTTTCTTTTGACATTAACAGGTAGTTATCAAACAGTTAAAAATTTTTATATGGCTTTAATTTTAAATAATTATAGATTGACATGAAGTTGCAAGAAAAATACAGAGAGGTCCCATGTATTTTTCACTTGTTTTCCCCACTCATTATCTCTTGCATAACTTTAGTAAAACATCAGTGGTGGTGTGTGTTGGGGTGCATATTGGGGTATGTGTGCAGGGGGTAGGAGGTATAATTGCTTTGTATATATACTTTAACTCACTTCTCCCATTTTGCCCCTTATCTCACCCCCTCCTCCTGTGACACCTGATGCCTTTAAGTCCCAAGCCTTTCCTGGATTCTGTGGGTCCTATTTATACTCCATATTCCTGATTGCAGACGCTTAGGTTGTATCCCTCCTCATCTTTACTTTGTGAGTTATAGTCCTTTGTCAGCTTGGTAGCTTCTCAAATTTTATATATACACATGCTTTTTTCCCCTCATAGGTAGGGATTCTCAGTTTCAAAATGGAGGTCGCAAGAAGAATAGTCCATTTATAAGACAAGAACAAGGAATACATTTGTTTTTTATAATTTTTATTTATTACTTATTGATATTTAGGCATCATTATCATAGTGATAAATGGTAGAGATGATGTGTAACTCTCACAGTTTTGTTAGAATAAGTTTTAAAGGAATTAGGAAAAAATATTAACTGTTAAACTCATTAAACTTTATTTTAGAGCCATGAGTGGAAAACTAACTGTTCAAGAAGAACAGATTGTAGAATTGATTGAAAAAATTGGTGCCATTGAGGAGGAGCTAAATAGGGTAAGCATTTAAAACCTATTGAATGAAAAAACCCCAAAACACAACAGTATTGTATGTTACATTAAAAGGGAATATTAAAAGAAAATTTCAGAACTTGAGGGACCTGATATTTTTTTAAGATTTTTAGTTTATTTTTATTTTTTAAAGATTTTATTTTTTCTAAGTAATCTCTACACCCAACATGGGGCTTGAATTTATAACCCTGAGATTAAAGAGTTGCATGCTCCACTGATTGAGCCAGCCAGGTGCCCCTAAAGATTTTTTATTTTTAAGTAATGTCTACACCCAGTGTGGGGCTTGAACTTAACATCCCCGAAACCCTGAGATCAGGAATCTCATGCTCTACTGACTGAGCCAGCCAGGCACCACCCCCCGCCTTTTATAACATCCTTTTAATTTGTACTAAGTCTTTGAAATCCCATGTGTGCTTCATCTGTATGTCTCAGTTCAGACAAGCCACTGTTTTTTTTTTAAATAGGCTTCATGCCCAAAGTGGGGCTTGAACTCACAACTCTGACATCAAGAGTCACATGCCCTACCAACTGGGCCAGCCAGGCGGCCCCCCCCCAATATTTTTTAAGATTTTTTTTTTTCTTGCTGACTCTTATACTAAAAATAAGTTGTATCATAATTTTACTGTAATCAACGATGAAGAAACTCTATTTTAAACACATTAAGGCAGCATTATGAGAAATTAACTGAATTGTGCGGTTTTATTGTTAAAGCTAAATAATGCTGAGACATTTTCATTACCGTGTGTATCATATGAGGGAATGCAGATGTTAGGAGAAACCAGATGTTGAGTAACTAAGGTGGAGAGACGTGACCTTTCTATGCCACCCTCACATTGTCAGTGTTGAAAGGGACCTGAAGAACTAACACCACTACACTAGACCTGGCATTTAATCTCGAAAATTTTAATGAATTTACAGGAAGAGACCAGATAACATATAAAATGCGCTAACCTACCTGGTGACTTGTTAACAACTTGTCACAGCTTTTGCATGGAAATAATTTGTTTGATTCTTCTATTATATTATGGACTAGCCAGGTGTTTCACCAACCAGTTCAGCATTTTGTAAATCTTAAAAAATGTTTAAATGTTATATTTAGGTTACAGAGTTATTTATGGACAATAAAAATGAACTTGACCAGTGTAAGTCTGACCTGCAAAATAAGACACAGGAACTTGAAACCACTCAAAAACATTTACAAGAAACTAAATTACAACTTGTTGAAGAAGAGTATATTACATCAGCTTTGGAAAGTACTGAGGAGAAACTTCATGATGCTGCCAGCAGGGTTTGTCTTTTGTTTTGATTTGTACTTGCATTAAAGAAATTAGAGAATGGGTAGAAGTAACTTTCTTTGCTTAAGCATTAACCGTGAAATTCTATTTATCCACCCCAAATGATATTTCTGTCAATTTAAAGAACATTATTTTACTATTTCATCTGAATTTTCCTCACTAGAGTTTCCGACTTAAGGAAAAAACCATTCCTGAAGTTTTGTAAAAAGAAAATAATTTTAATGTACTTTGGGGACATTGAGAACAATGATGCAGTACTTTCCCCTTTGGTCATGATTGGAACTAATCAGTCATAAAGAATTTAGCACCTTCTAATGGTGGGAGATGGTGAAAGAATTGTTTATTAGGTGCATGTTAGAGGAAATAGTAACACATAATAGAAAAATTTATGAGGAAGCATAATTACTATATTAGGTTGGCAAAATCCCTTTTCCTTGCTAGATGAGGGGAAATTCCTGGGCAACTGGATAAATTGGCATGAATTGAAAATGTGTTCTGATACAATATCTAAAACTTACTAGTCCTCATCAGGAGAAATCCTTATGTAGCACAGATATTTTCATTAGACTGTTTTGTCATATCCATCTTAACAACATTTATTTTAAAAAATCATGTATAGTTGCTTACCACAGTTGAAGAAACTACAAAAGATGTATCTGGTCTCCATTCCAAACTGGATCGTAGGAAGGCAATTGATCAGCACAATGCAGAAGCTCAGGATATTTTTGGCAAAAACCTGAATAGTCTGTTTAGTAATATGGAAGAATTAATTAAGGATAGCAGCTCAAAACAGAAGGCCATGCTAGAGACTCACAAGACTTTGTTTGGTAAGTTCAAGCATTTCTAATTAGTCTTTGTGTGATTAGTGTGAGACTAATTTCAAAACTGATCATTTACTATCTTAAAAAACTCAGGGGACCATGTCACTAGTCCCCTCCAGTGCACATCTGTCAGACTAGGGATTATCTTTTACTGCCTTTGAATTAAAACAAATCTTAGCTGGGTTTGGTTTTTTTTTTCCCTGTTTTCTATAAAGTAAGTTCAACCACACCCATTGTTTGTTATCTTCATTTAGGGGAAAAAACTTTTTTTTTTTAAGATTTTATTTATTTGAGAGAGCAAGAGAGCGAGCAAGCACAAGCAGGTGGTGGGGCAGAGGGAGAGGGAGAAACAGACTCACTGCTGAGCAGGAAGCCTGATGCAGAGCTCGATCCCAGGAAGGCAGAGGCTTAACCATCTGAGCCACCTAGGTGCCCAGAGAAAAAACTCTTAAATATTAGTTTTTTAATGCGAAAGTATTATCTTCACTATAGAAAACGTGTAAGATACAGAAATGTCAAAATTTGTAAAAATCACCTAGAGTCTAGTTGCTATAAGCCAACCACTCTTAAGTTTGATTTATTAATTTTATAACCTCTTTTACCTATTATAATACCGTGATTACCTGTAACTGGAGATCACAATGATTCTTGGTTTACTGTGAACTATAGTGATGGGTCTGATAAACTGACAAATATGACATGTGCTTGCAGAATACTCTAGAACATAAATAATTTATATTTGAAATGTTTCCTAGCTGATGTAATGAGCCAATTATTTTAAGCTTACTTGTTATTACAAATTTCCACAAGGATATAATTTTCTCAACCTCTTTAAAGTACTTCACATGTATTAGTATATTTATGTCAAAGTTTGTATCTTTTTTCTTTTTGGTATAGGTAACCTGCTGTCTTCCAGTGTCTCTGCATTAGACACAATTACTACAACAGCACTTGGATCTCTCACATCTGTTCCAGGAAATGTGTCTATACGTGTTTCTCAGATTTCTAATAGGATATTAAAAGAACAATCATTAGCAGCAGAAAGTAAAACTGTACTTCAGACGTTGATTGTTAGTAAATCTCTTAAAGTATTTTTCAAGTGTTACTTTGCTAAGTCTTCAAAAACAATGTTAACTGCTTCTTTCATTTTAAGTTTTACAAGACATGGTTATAAACATCACTTTAAGAGTAGATTTATATATATATATATATATATATATATATATATATATATATTTTAAAGATTTTATTTATTTGAGAGCGAGCATGAGCTGGGTGAAGGGCAGAGGGAGAAGCAGACTCCCTCCTGAGAGGGGAGCCTGAAGTGGGACTCAATCCCGGGACTGGGATCGTGACCTGAGCCAAAGGCAGAATCTTAATTAATTGAGCCACCCAGGTGCCCCAGATTTTATATATATATATATATTTTTTTTTAAGATTTTTATTTTTATTTATTTGTGAAAGATTTATTTTTAACATTTTTGTTTTTATTTGAGAAAGAAACAGTGCGCCCTTGAGAGAGCACAGTGGGGAGGAGGGACAGAGGGAGAGGGAGGAGGGGTAGAGGGAGAGGGAAAAGCAGACTCCCCGTTGAGCAGGAAGCCTGATGCAGGGCTTGATCCCAGGATCCTGGGATCATGACTTGAGCCAAAGGCAGATGCTTAACCGAGTGAGCCACCCAGGCGCCCCCAGATATATATTTCTTTTAAAATTTTTTTTTTAAATATGATTTTTATTTTATTTTATCTTTTTTAAAGATTTATTTGTCAGAGAGAGAGACGGCGCAAGCAGGGGGAGCGGCAGACAGAGGGAGAAGCAGGCTCCCAGCTGGGCAAGGAGCTGGACGCGGGATCCCCTGGATCATGACCTGAGCTGAAGGGCAGTCGCTTAACTGACTGAGCCACCCAGGCGCCCCCGAGATTTATATTTTTAAAAGCAAATCTCTCCACTGTTTTTTTCTCCCAGAAAGATTAACTTCCAAATGCATATAACCAACCTTTGAAACTTTTTTCACTAACATCTTGTAACATTAAGAGCAGGAGTTAATAAGCCTAATAATTAGAAAGGACAGGTTTAGCACCAGATGAATTCAGGGGACCCACGAGTTGGTGGTTGGCTCAGAAATTGGTAAATCATCTTTTCCTCAAGGGTTCTGGAATGGTAATGCTGATGTTAAAGTTGACCCAACCAGAGGGGATATAAGCTGGTTAATTTTAAAATTATGGTAATACCAAGAAGTGCAAGAAAAAAAACTGCTAGAATTCTAGGAACACATATGACAATTTATGGGGTCAGATCTGTGTGATCAAGCCCTTCTTAACTGTAAGGCTCCTTTTCATAGTTCTACAGAAGCCACTCATCCAATTACACTAGTATTACCTCCTTCAGAGCTGATTTGAATAATACTCTTTGTTCTGTAATTGTATGATTTGCCCAGGAAGTCCTTGGCTATATCTCTTGTTTTCTTCTTTACATAGGCTCTCTGCCTCCCCTTTTGAGTCTAACAATATTTGTTGAACACTTTCCAAGTAAATAACTACAAATGTTAGTTGACACTGCCTAGATGCAGTGCTTATATGACACTTTTTGATAGATTTCTTCAGTCACCCAAATTTGACAAAGTTAATAGAGGCTCAGTTGGTACTTTTAGGAAATTGATTTATGCACTAAATGCAAGACTGTATTTATTGAGGTCTTTCTACCAAGTTCTCTGCCACCTTGTAAACACTGCTGGAGTCAAGAGAGATGACTGCTTCTCCCACAGAATGAGTTGAAATGATGATAGCTTTTCTTTCCCAAAGAACGCCACTAGCTTTTCCTTTCATTCCTCACTAATTGTTTCTGTTAGAGTTCCTCACCCTTCCCAAGTGAAGGGAACTTAAGGTCACAGTTTTTTCCTTTTTGGTAAAAATTACCAATCCAAAAAAAAAAAAAAAAAAAATCCCAATCTACATTCTCAACTCCGTATATACCTCGACAAGAACAAGAACCTTGACAAGTTCTTCAGCTACAATAGGATATAAGTCACCAGGTCTTAAGAGTTTAATACTTCCAGCTCAGAGCCTACCTTTGAAGGCTATTTGGTTTCAGCCTTTCTGACTTATTTGAAATTTCTTTTGTTAAAATGTACTTAACCAGTTTTTTTTTTAATTCCCTTTATTTGCAATGCTGAAATCTTATCAAATGATTGTCGTTTTCCCCTCTTCTGAATTCTTTGGACTTCTATTGCATTAGACTGTTAAGAATCTGTTGAACAGGGCGCCTGGGTGGCTCAGTTGGTTAAGCGACTGCCTTCGGCTCAGGTCATGATCCCGGAGTCCTGGGATCGAGTCCCACATCGGGCTCCCGGCTCAGCAGGGAACCTGCTTCTCCCTCTGACCCTATCCCCTCTCATGCTGTTTCTCTCTCTCTCTCGCTCTCTCTCTCTCTCAAATAAATAAATAAATAAAATCTTTAAAAAAGAAAAAAAAGAATCTGTTGAACGCTATGTGACCATTTCTTAATTACTGTAGGTAGAATAAGTAACGTGAATATAAACTCTAGAAACAAATAGGCTCTATAGGCTATAAAGATTAGAGAATGGAAACTTAGGATTTTACTATGCATGTGTTAACAAAGTATTTTAAGATACTGTCATTTAACCAACCAGGTTTATGGAAGTGAAAATATTCTTTTTAACCAGGATGTACTTAAGACTGACCTTCTAAATTCACTGGAAACAGTTTTATCCCCCACGATGGTGTTTATACTGAAAATCAACAGTCAACTAAAGCATCTTTTCAAGACTTCATTGACAGTGGCTAGTAAGGTAACAAGTGTTATGTTCTTAATTTCTCAAAATCATATTGTTTTTTAAGAAAGAAATTTTATATATCTATGGCCACATCTGTATACATGCAAAGCCATGGGTTATGAGGTGGAATCTGGAGGAGAGAGGAGATAGGATGCTCACTGCCATTGATGTGATCAACAAAATCCTGGCTAAGAAAAATGAGAGAATGATCTTCAAGATAAGTGTGTGTTCACATAATAGCATATATATATATAGCATGCTACCATGAGTGGGTGAGGAAGATGTGCATATTCGTGTATACATGCATATGCATGCACATCTGCCTAAATATGCATAAAATATCTCTGGAAGTGTTTAAAAAGGATAGCAATCTTCTCTCAGAGGTGAGAGTGGAACTGGGGTTCCAGGGGCTGGAGAGGGAAGACTTTTCTCTGCATACTGTTTTCTTGCTTGGATGTGTTCTATTTTGTATGTGTTCAACAAAGAAAGAAAGAAACTAAAATATGTTTTTTTAATTAAAAGAAAGAAACTAACTTTTTCCTTCAAAGATAGAAGATCAGAAAAACGAAATGGATAGCTTTCTCAGTACACTGTGTAATAAGCTACATGAACTACAAGAAAATACAATTTCTTCCTTGGCTGAATCACAGAAGCTATGTGAAAACTTAACTGAAGACCTGAAGACAATTAAAAAAATCCATTCACAGGTATCTCATTTAGGTGATTTGGGGAGCATAAAAAGGAAGTTTTATAACCTTTAACTTGATAATCCCTGTTATGTAATCTGAATGCTAATACTAATCTAATTAGTAGAACTAATTTAGAAACCTGAAAATGCCATAGCCACTCTTGCTTATAACAATAATTAATACAAAATAATTAAGAATACCTTTCTTGACCAGTTAATATTTTAGGATTTGCTATATTTAGGACCCTGTGCTAAAGCAGTATAAGACAAACAGGAGGGGCACCTGGGCGGCTCAGGCAATTCAGTGTCCAACTCCTGATTTCGGCTCAAGTCATGATCTCGTGGTTGTGAAATTGAGCCCCGCATCAGGCTCTGCACTCATAGGGGAGTCTCCTTGAGATTCTCTCTCTCCCTCTCCCTCTGCCCCTCTCCCTGCTCAAGCTCTCTCTCTCTCTCTCAAATAAATAATAAAATCTTAAGAATAAAGACAAGACCGTCCTTTCATCATACCAAGATGAAAGATGAAGCTAGAGAAACTTTTGGCAGTGCAATTAGAAGAAAATGGTTCTAGTATTTACAATGAATATGTATCTGCAATATAACTTGATAAATTGTTTTTTTCCTTGGGTAACATGGATAGTTATTCTCTTTCAGAAACTGTATCCTGTCTCTTACTATTTCTGTCTCATTGATGTCAGACATTTAGATTATAGCAAATGAATACAATTCTTTTTTTGTGTGTTTTTTGAAAGAGCGAGAGAGAGAGAGAGAGTGCATGGATGCCTATGGTGGGGGAAAGGGCAGAGGCAGAGGGAGAGGGTGAGAGAGAATCTTAAGCAGGCTCCACACTGGGTTCCATGCAGGGCTCTATCTCATGACCCTGAGATCATGACCTGCGCTAAAACCAAGAGTCAGATGCTTAACCGACTGAGCCACCCAGCTGCCCCAATTAATACAATTCTTAATTTTAATTGATTGTAAATGTAATTCATGACCTACCTTCCTCCATGTAAGCTGTTTCTCAGTTCATGACCAAAACCAAACCTCCAAACCAGGGAAGTCATAATCTGTAAAGATCAGATATATGGAAAACAACTCCTCATATTCTTAAGGCCTGAGGTAATGAGTGTGTAAAGTTTTATTAAATGAGGCTAATTATTACATGACAGAACTCTTTGGTCAATAAAACTATTGACATGATTTAGTGAGTAATAGAGGTTTCTTTTTCTTTGGAAGTAAGGGAGGGGGAATTCATATCCATGTCATCCAAAATGAGAAAGGAAACAAATCCAAGATTTTTAGGCAAGAGTTAAAGCAACTTTGAAGTAAGAGTATTTGTTTCCGTAATTGATAAGCATGAAACTTTTTGGAGAAAGGATTAACATCAAAATAGTAAAACTAATAGTTAACATTTCCTGAGCCACTCACTATGTGCTTATTCCTGTCATCAATATAGATACAGGTTCTATTACTAGCCTAGTTTTCTAATGAGGAAACCAAGGCTTTGAAAGCACATGAGAGTATTTAGATCCTCTGAGAGTAGTAGTGGTGATTTTTGTGCCTGAAATGCATCCACTTTTGAGTTGCTCTGTTTCTAGAACATATTCTTGCAATTTGAAATTGTAGCAGTTTCTCATACCTCTGCATCAACCTGTCTATAACTTTTTAGGTATATGTTCTAAGGTAGATCAGCTTTTTATATATTAGCTGTTTGGAAATGTTTAAATTGATAAGCAGCTGTTTAAAAACAAGCAAAACACCTATGATCCAAAAAGTATTTTAACATGATTTGACTTCTTTGGCTTTACAGAAGTTCAATTTCTTAAGTGTGCTGTTTCTCAGATATTCTAGAACTTGAAGTTAGCACTAACAAAACAATTATGAACACCTGTCTACATGTAGATAAATCTGATAATACCTGCATTTTCCTCTACTTTGAGACGAGTAAAAATACTGACAGACTTTATTCATAGTCAGTCTTGGATATGTATTGTCAGCTGATGTGTATTTTAGAGATGTTGGTCGACCTAATGGACTGAACAGTGAATAAGAATGCTGGATGCATGTTCAGCTCTTTCTTGGCCTTTAGTGTAGCTTCTTCATTTTGTAAGTTTAAATCCCTATCATGTTGTGTGCCTGAAAAGAACTTGTTTTTAAAGATGCCAAGTATGAGCAAAGGTAAAATTATGTTTTATTAATATGATCCAGCTAGATTTTGTAAAATTTTTCAACTTAAGTAATTACTACTATTTTTGGACTACTTGACCCATCAGATTATCAGCATTACTTTTCTAGTAGTGTTATCAGTTAAGAAGCAACTGGTGCTCTAGACCTGTCAAAGTGGTTCTCCTAGCATAAGGTGACATCTTGGTGTATTTGCTTAGTTTTGAGGTACACTGAAAGTAATTTGTTACTAAATAATAGTTAAGATAGCAAAGTTTGCTAATTGTTTACTTTTTTAAAAAATTCCTTTAATATTATCCTTTTAATATCAGTTACACTGCTTTCCTCTATGGGTGAGAAGTGGAATTAAAGTTCTCTCGTTGAGAATTTGTATAATTCTCAGCTATGGGAAAATACTTCATGTCAATATTAGAGGAAAAGTTCAGGTGTCATAATTTCAACCTCTTCCTCTCCCACACCTTTCTTATAGGAACTTTGCCAGTTAATCAATCTTTGGGCAGAGAGATTCTGTGCCTTGGAGGAAAAGTGTGAAAACATCCAGAAACCACTTAGTAGCATCCAAGAAAATACAGAACAGTAAGCAGTTTTTAATTCTCTTTAACTTTTCAGGCACCTGGGTGGCTCAGTTGTTAAGCGTCTGCCTTCGGCTCAGGTCGCGATCCCAGGATCCTGGGATCGAGTCCCACATCGGGCTACCTGCTCGGCAGGAAGCCTGTTTCTCTCTCTCCCACTCCCCCTGCTTGTGTTCCCTCTCTCGCTGTCTCTCTCTCTCTGTTGAAAAATAATAAATAAAATCTTAAAAAAAAAATTCTCTTTAACTTTTCTCCGCCTGAAATTATTTCAGAATAGACGGCTTCAAACAGTACAAATAATACTATCAACCCGATTTCTCATTTAACATTTTATGGTTGTTTTCTCATTCTCATTCCCTTTCTCTCTTCCCAGCCCCTTCTAATATTTTACATATAGATATCTTTTCTGAACTAGCTGTGCATAGGTTGCATCCATAATGCTCACTTTCCCCTAAATACTTCAGTCTGTATTTCCTAAAAATAAGGATATTCTCTTATATTACCATAATACAATTATTTTAAATCAGAAAATTAGTATTGGTAACTTCTATTACCTAGTATTACAGACCTAATTCAAATTTTGCCAGTTTCTCACTGGTGTTCTTTATAAGAAAAGAAAAAGATTTTCTTCCTGCTCTAGGATTTAATCTAGGATCACACATTGCATTTGATTGTCATGTCTCTTGAATCTCCTTTAATCTGGAGTAGTTTCATAGTGTTTGTCTTTTATGACCTTTGCTTTTTCAACAGCATAGAATATTTATTTAGTACAGTGTCCCTCAGTTGGGGTTGGCCTTCATAATTAATTGGAATTTCTCTGTAGCTCCTTTCAAGATATTTTTCTTTGCCTTTAGTTTTTGGAGGTTTGATTATATTATGTTGTCTTATATATTTTTTGAGGTTATCCTATTTGGATTTACTCAGCTTCTTGAATCTGTACACTTATGCCTCTCACCAATTATGGAAATTTTCATCCATTATTTGAATGTTTTTCAGCTCTATATTCTTTCTCCTCTGCTTGTAGGCTTTGATGACACAAATGTTAGATCTTTTATTGTGGTCCCATAGGTCTCTGAGGCTATAGTTTATTTTCTCTTTGTTGTTCAGATTGAGTAAATTTTATGAACTGTCTTCATGTTCCTTTGCCATCTCTAACCTGTAGAACCCATTCAATGAGGTGTTTTATTTCAGTTACTGGGTTTTTCAGTTTTTTAATTTTCATTTCCTTTTTTTTTATCTCTCTTAATTCCTTTGCTAAGATTTTATTTTTTCCAAAAGTGTTTTAATTGCTCATTGAAACATTTTTGTATGGCTGCTTTAAAATCCTTGACAGATTATTCCAACATCTGAATTATCTCAATGTTGGCACCTGTTGTCTTTTCTCATTCAAGTTGTGATTTTCCAGAATGGTTTTGATTGTATCTTGAACATTTTGATTATTATGTTAGGAGATTCAGAATCCTATTTAAGTTTTCTTTTTTGGCAGGCATTCACTTTTGTTTAGGTTTAATGTGAAGGCCCTGGCCCAGTTTTGCGAGCTTTGGTTCCAAAGACAATTTTACTTTCAGAGCCTTTGCATTCTAATATGCTTCGTTTGGTGCTACCCAAATGAAAAAAATGTGTGTTCTGCTTTTGATGGATGAAATGTTCTATACAGGTCAATTAGGTCTATTGATTGTGTTATTTGGGTCATCTGTATCCTTACTGAGTTTCTGCCTATTTGTTCTATCAATTACTAAGAGAGGGGTGTTAATCTCCAATTACAATTTTAGATTTGTCTATTTCTCATCAGTTTTATCAGTTTTTGCTGCATATATGTGATGCTCTGTTGTTAGATGCATACACATTTAGTGTTGATATGTCTTGGAGAACTGACTGCTTTATCATCATGTAATGTCCCATTTTATCCCTGATAATCTTCCTTGTTCTGAAGTCTGAAGTCTATATCTGAAACTAATATAAGTACTTAGCTTTCCTTTCATTGCTATTTGCATATAATGTACTTCCATCCCTTTACTTTTGGCCTACATCTTTATATTTAAAGTGGATTTCTTGCAGATAACATGTAATTGGATCTTGCTTTTTCGTCACATTTAACAATGTATGACTTTTAACTGGTGTGTTTAGACCATTTTCATTTAAAGTATTGGTATAGTTGGATTAAAATCTCCCATTTTGCTGTTTTCTATTTGTTGCATATTCTGTGCTTTGTTTCCTTTTATTCCTTTCTGAATTTAAGTTGAGTGTTTTTATGTTTTCATTTTATCTCTTCCATTGATTTATCATTTATACTTTTTTTCTTCCTTTTGTTTTTTTAAGAGAGAATGTGCATGAGAGTGGCGGTGGGGGGTTGGGGGGGTGGGAGAGGGAGAGAATCCTAAGCAGGCTCTGAGATCATGACCTGAGCTAAAACCAAGAGTTAGACACTTAACCGACTGAGCTACCCAGGCACCTCTTATCATTTATACTTTTAAGTTACCTTTTCTAAAAATAGTTTTTCTAGGATTAATGATACATATTTTTAAATAATGTTAATACACTTCCAAGTAATTTGCTATTTCAGCTGTGATAAAAGGACCTTATAACAGTATGTTCCCAATTTCTCCTTCCCATCTCTTTTGCATTGTTTTCATATATTTTGCTTTGGCATATGCTGTATACACCCAGGACACTGTTACTCTAATCGCTTTATTTATTTTTTATTTATTTTTTTAATGTGGCTACTAGAATTTTTTTTTTTGCTGCTAGAATTTTTTTAAGATTTATTTATTTATTTATTTGACAGAGAGTGAGAGAGAGCAAAAGAGGGAACACAAGCAGGGGGAGTGGGAGAGGGAGAAGCAGGCTTCCCGCTGAGCAGGGAGCCCGATGCGGGGCTCGATCCCAGGACCCTGGGATCATGACCTGAGCCGAAGGCAGACGCTTAACGACTGGGCCACCCAGGCGCCCCTAGAATTTTTTTTTTAATGACTTTATTTATTTATTTGACAGAGAGGCAGAGACAGAGAGTACAAGCAGGCAGAGTAGCAGGCAGAGGGAGAGGGAGAAGCAGGCTCCCCGCTAAGCAGGGAGCCCGACACAGGGCTCAATCCCAGGACCCCAGGATCATGACCGGAGCCAAAGGCAGTCGTTTAACCAACTGAGCCACCCAGGCTCCCTGCTACTAGAAAATTTTTAATTATGTGGCTCATATTATATCTATTGAACAGTGCTGTCCTAGAATTCTAGCTGTCACCTATTTTACTACGTAACTCCTATCACTGGTTTTCCAATTCTGTTGATCTTATTATATCATTATATCATGCCCCATTCTGAACTCTTCTTTCTAGACTCTGAAGTGTCTAGGAAGTGTTTCCCCACTTTTTTTTCTAGTGTTTAGACTTAAGGATTTCTGGCTTCTTCAATAGCTCTGAAGGGAATACTGGAATAGGATTGAAATGGCTATGGAACTATGATATACTCTTTTTAAGCCCCCTACAAGCCATTTTCCCCAATCTTTCTGACATTTATTGCCTATAGCAGTGGTTTTCAAAGTGTGGTCCAGGGACCGTGTAAAAGAATGAGCCAGGAGTAGGGCCCAGGAATCTAGGGGAGGTTTCTGTATACTGAAGTTCGAGACCCACTCACTGCCTGTGGCACTTACTGTCATGGATTGTAGTCACTCCTGAATAAATTTCGTCTTCCTGCTAGGTTGTGATTCCTTGAGGGACTAGATTTGTGTTGATAGTTTCCAAGCTTATCACTTGACTTTCTTTTCCTTTTTCAGTCATTTCCATTTAACCTGTAGTTGAACTTTGGTTTTCAACCTATTTGCTTCCTCCTTTGGTTTCCTCACATGGTCTACCATCTAGTGGTAGTAGAGAGTAACTTTCATTCACCAAAGTTTACCTCTGAAGTCCTGAAAGGACTTTAGTTTTCTATCAGGGGCATATTGCAGAGTGTACTGTGTGTGCTAGGTGTATAGTTTGTCACACCCAATATAATCTTCTTAATTATCAGAAAGCTTTATAGTTGCCTTTGTTTTACAACATTTATAATTTTTTCCATTTATTTAAGGTCTTGGACAAGGCAAAACTACTTAAGATCAGAATGATTGATTGTGGACAGTTTAGGGACTAGACTAGAGGCTGCAGGTGATGCCCTTAAGAAATATAATCTAGTAGGAGGAAAAAAATCTAGATTTTATTTTAGTAACTATACAGTCATTACTCTATGAGGTACAAAGTAAAGCATCATATCTGGAGGAGAGCTGGAAAGGTTTTATGAGAAAAGAGACATTTCCAAAGGTCATTTAATGGCCGATGTGATGTCAGTCTGCTGTGAAAAGACACTGGCCAAAGCATCCATCGTCAATGTAGAAGATTGATTAAGAACATGGGCTCTGGAGCCAGACTGCCTGGGTTCAAATATGCCATTTTTGAACTGTGTGACCTTGGGCAAGTTATAGGTCTTTTGAGTCTCAGTTTTCCATTTTAACAATGTTCTCTTTTTCTATAGGACATCTAAGGATATAATCAGCAAAACAGCCTCTCAGAGTACACAGTTTTGTGCTGATTGTGATGGCTTGTCACAGGAACTCAGACGCTGTAACCAAGAAGGTACAAAATTGGTTGAAGAGTCTGTGAAACACTGTGATAAACTCAGTAGCAACCTTGAAGTAGTATCTCAAGAGACTGAACAGAGATGCGAGGCCCTGGACGCAAGCACGCTTGCTTTTTCTGAACAGTGGGTATCTTGCTTAAACAAAAGGGAAGAAGAACTTCAGAACTTATTGGAGGTAATAACGTTGTATTTGGAACCTACTTTGGAGAGAATAGTAATAATCAGAAAATTAAATATTCCTGGCTTAGAATTGGTTTCAAAACAGATGATATTTTAAAATACTGAATGAATTAAATTTTTAAAGTGTAATAGTTGGTATCCTTATTCATGATCTAGTCTCATGTACATATCTTCTAGAGCTTGAAATAATTTAACTCTTGTGTCTATCTGTCCTGCATCTATCCTTGGTTTTTGACTTGTTAGTTCTTTCAGTTAAGGGCACCCTGTTTTTTTAATGTAATTCAAACCTACTATTGCTTTAAATATTTAGGATATTGTTCTGATTGGTCAAAGGATACTTGATAGTTTTGTGTGTTTGCTTGATCTTAATACTTGCATGAGCCCTTTATGGCTTGGTTTTTCTTTCTGTGCTATAAAAGGATTTTACTAATATTCTCAGGAACTAGGTAAAAGAATATAAGTTAAAAAAAAAAGTATTTTAAGCTCTATATAAGCTATCTTTACCAAAAGGAACCAGGGCTAATGGAGAAATAGCTGATTTCAGGTTTAAACAGGAAATATACCAGATAAGCCTAGAGATGCTGTCATACCAGAAGGTAAGGGAGCTATTAAAGATTAGTGGGGTTGAATCAAAAAAACATAGGAGCCCACCTGATGACACTCCTTTGTTTAAATATGGTATAATTTGAGTTTCAAAAGGAATAATTGCTATAATTGATTAAAATACATTAAATATATTAAAGCTTATGCATTCATAAAAATTTCATAGGTCTCCTTTGGATCATATTAGGGAGGCAGTGCATTATTCTGAAAACTGGTAAATAAAGGGAAACAGTTGAGCATCCATATGTCTTTGCCAAAAGAATTCTATCATGGTTTAGCAGGATAGTGGATGGAGAAAAGTGTTTCATAGAAGAATCCCAGCTAATGTAGAAGGAATGACAGAATTTGAAAACCACTGTTTTGCAATCCTAGTGAGATAACCCCCACGGACATTAATTACTATCTACACCATTTGAAAAAAACTGATGGAGAACTGTATTTTTATTTATTTATTTATTTTTTAAAGGTAGGGGTGTGTGTGTGTGTGTGTGTGTGTGTGTGTGTGTGTGTTTAAGTAATCTCTACACCCAGCATGGGGCTCGAGCTCATGACCCTGAGATCAAGAGTCTCACACTCTTCTGACTGAGCCAGCCAGACACCCCTTGATAGAGAACTTTATAATTAATAGGGTGATTACAGGCAAACTCACTAATGAATCTTTTTTTTCTTTTAAATTTTATTTATTTTTTAAAGTAAACTCTACTCCCAATATGGGGCTTGAACTCACAAACCTGAGATCAAGATCTGTATGCTCTACCAACTGAGCCAGCTAGGTCCCCTACTGATTAATCTTAACATGAGAGATAGAACCAGACATATGTGCTTTTAGCAGCACCTACAAAATATTCTTGCCAAACACTTAAAAAAGTATGAGGAAAGCTATCCTCTTATTAAGAGAGCTAAGACCAGAGGGTCTTCAGACCTAGTTTGCGTGGGATAGTCCTTGTTTACATCTGTTGTTTGGAGGTAATTGTTTTTAAGAATGGCCCTTTTCACTCTGAAAAGTATCCCAGTTTGGGTGATAAATTATATAGTCATCTACTTAAGACAAATCAACCAAATCTAATGATAAATTCAAATTGTGAAAAACATTTGAGATAATTGGGGAAGTTTGCATGCTGACTAGATATTTGCTATAAAGAAATCAATGTAAGTTTTTCAGATATGAGAGTGGTCTTAAAAAGCTCTTAACTCATAGAAGTGTATACTGAAATAAATGGATGAAATGATACAGGATTTCCTTTAAAATAATTCTATGGGAGGAGGAATAAGTGGTTAATCTTGTTTGATCTATACCCCATGTATTGATAAATGTTGAGACTGGGTAAATACAAGGGGGTTAATTATACTATTCTCTCTACTTTTGCATGTGTTTTTAAAACTTTTTACTATGGAAAATTTCAAGATAAGGGGAAATAATATATTGAATAAAACACTGACAGCTTTGATTTTAATAACGAAAGCTCATTTGCATCATTTACAGGTTATAAACCAAGGCTGTAAGGCTGCAAGTTCAGAGATAACTGAAAAATTAAATGGACATAAGGCAGCTAATGAGAACCAGCATAACACTTTTTTTGGTCAGATAACTACTGACGAAGAAAAGTTAATGGCACAAAGTCTAGAACTTAACGAAACCATAAAAATGGGTTTGACTAAGCTTAATTGCTTTCTACAACAGGACCTGAAACTGGATATTCCAACAGGTACTTTATTTATTTATTTATTTATTTTTAAGATTTTATTTATTTATTTGACAGAGAGAGATATAGCGAGAGCAGGAACACAAGCAGGGGGAGAGGGAGAAGCAGGCTTCCCGCAGAGCGGGGAGCCCGATGTGGGACTCGATCCCAGGACCCTGGGATCATGACCTGAGCCAAAGGCAGACGCTTAACGACTGAGCCACCCAGGCGCCCCTCAACAGGTTCTTTAAAGGGAAAGAGAATTGTTAAAATTTTTGAGGTTGAAGTCAACCTTGTACTGTGCCAGATGTTCAGAAAAACCAGGTCCTGCCATTGCCCGGTAAGAATTTTCCATCTCACTGTAGTCACCTCAAATGGAAAGAGTGGAACCCTAAAATACCTTTAATCAAGATTAGATGTCATGATATGGGTGTCATGTACTTGTCATAAAATTCGGGCATTACAATCAATAAAATTTTACAAATATTTAGGGAGCTGGCTTGGTTAAGAGAAGATTTTTATTTATTTTTATTTTTAAGATTTTATTTATTTTAGAGTGTGTGTGCAAGCAGGGTGGGAGCAGAGGGGGAGGGAGAGGGACAAGCAGACTCCAGGCTGAGCAGAGCCCAAGGGGGGGCTTGAGATCATGACCTGAGCTAAAATTCAAGAGTCAGAAGCTTAACCAACTGAGCCACCCAGGCAGGCACCCCTTTATTTTTATTTTTTTAAGAGAGAGAGAGCACAGAGGAGTCGAGGAGTGGGGGTGGGTGGAGAGGGGCAGAAGGAGAGAATCTTTTTTTTTTTTTAAGAGAAGATATTCTATTTTTTTAAAGATTTTATTTATTTATTTGAGAGAGCGTGCAGGAGCAGGGGGGAGAGGGAGAAGAAAGCTCCCTCCTGAGCCCCCTGGGAGCCTGATGCGGGGCTTGATCTCACGACCCTGGGATCATGACCTGAACTGAAGGCAGCCACTTAACCAACTGAGCCACCCAGGCGCCCCAAAGAGGAGATATTTTAAAAGCAAATAAAAAGAAAAGCCAGCAACCATCTATGTAGCACAGTTTGTAAAAGGGCATTGTAATACCAGAAGTAGTTGAGGAATGTAATTACATAAATGTCGTTTACTGGAAAAAGCTCAGCGTATTGTGTATTTCCTTATGTGTACCTCTCATTTTGTCAGATGGCAAAGATCATTTTAGGCTATAGTGATTTCGGGAAGCCTTCATGGAAGCAGGTATGCAAGCTATTGAACAGGATGAGTAATTGAACTATTCTTTGGATTGCATTTAGGGTCACAGACCCTGTAAATTTACTAAAAATCACTGAATAGATGTCATGGTATGTAAATTCTACTTCAAAGCTTTAAAAAAAAAAATAAAACAATTATAAAAGGAGATGATGCTAAAGAATGTTAGTTTATTTTTTCCACAAGGGTCCTGTAATATTTATTTCCACTCTTCAATGAAATTAGGAACATAAGTGTTAAGCAGAAAGGCAAGTGCTTGTGTAAAATATGTATTAGAGCATGAGTTCATTATAAAGAAATGTAATTGGGGGGCGCCTGGGTGGCTCACTCGGTTGAGTATCTGCCTTCAGCTCAGGTCGTGATCTCAGGGTCCTGGGATCGAGCCCCGCGTCGGGCTCCCTGCTCAGCGGGGAGTCTGCTTGTCGCTCTGCTCCTCCCCCCGCTCATTCTCTCTCCTTCTCTCTCTCAAATAAATAAAATCTTTAAAGAAAAAAAAAAAAAGAAATGTAATTGTTAATATTTAGTTGCCACCAAATTTAAATGAAATGATTATCCTATCAAAGATCTCATTGGGAAAGCTGTACTCTTATTCCAGGAATGCTACCATTTCTCAGAACACTTCGATTCCTTTTAGAACCTATAGCACATCTTTTGTACATCCTCAGGTGGATAATTTCATGTTTTTGTGGTAGGTTGAATCCTGAAAATAGTTGAGTCTATCTAAGATCATTTGTCAAGTTAGGAAATAGTAGTTGTAAGCAATCTGTGCATAACAAGTAACAAGACTGATTCCCATGTGTGGCAATGGCTATATCTTTGGAAGCCAGAGACTCATTGGGAAGTATACATTCTAACAAAAAAAATCTCACTCATATACCACACTTCAATCTTTTCCTATTTATGTAATGTCCACTAAAGGTACGACACCACAGAGGAAAAATTACCTCTACCCATCAACGCTGGTGAGAACCGAACCACGTGAACAGCTCCTTGATCAGCTGAAAAGGAAGCAGCCTGAACTGTTAATGATGCTAGACTGCTCAGAAAACAACAAGGAAGAGATCAGTCAGGTAAAATTTTAGAACTCTCGCATAAACTCCTTATGTCATCATCTTCATATGAAGAATTTTATTCTTTGCCCTTAAATCCTACCCTGTTGCATTAATGGTAGTCGTCTGACCCTTAAGCCTATTGCTTTTAATCTGGACATTTTAAAATTATTAAAGTAATAATAATAACCAATATTTATGTTGTGCTTATTATGTGCCAGAGCCTGTTCTAAGCACTTTCCATACATATTTACTCAGTTAATACTCTCAGTAGCCTTATGAAGTGGGTGCTAGTACCAACCCCGTTTGAGAGGTGAGGAAACTAAGAATTTCCAAGTCATAGGACGGAGTTGCAAGTAGAACCTAGGAGAGCCCCACAAACTGTGCTCTTACGTAGTAATTACAGATGAGTTGGGAAGTAGAAAATAAAAAATAAACTGTAATCCCATTATTCTGAGATTACTACTTTTAATATTACAGGTACTTCTCTATGAAAAAACATATTTGGGATTATTTTCATTATTTATTTTTTTAAATTTCAAAGTTTTTTTTTGTTTTTTGTTTTTTTTAAATTTTTATTATTTATTTATTTGAGAGAGAGAGTGAGAGAGAGAGAGAGCACAAGAGGGGGGAGCGGGAGAGGGAGAAGCAGACTCCCTGTTGAGCAGGGAGCCCGATGCGGGACTCGATCCCGGGACTCCAGGATCATGACCTGAGCCGAAGGCAGTCGCCCAACCAACTGAGCCACCCAGGCGCCCTGTTTTTTTTTAAGTAATCTCCCCACCCAGCATGGGGCTTGAACTTACAACGCTGAGATCAAGAGTCCCATACTCTTCCAACTTAGCCAGCCAGGCACCCTCATTATTTTTTAGACTTCCTACTAATTTGGTTGAGGTTTAACTTTTATACAATGGACATTGTGTTATTTTCAAAGAAGAAAGCTGCACGTATTTTGTGAAGATTTTTAAGTCCTTGGACTTAATCACTCATCTACCTTCTTATGTTAGGACTTGGATGAAGAAAAGTCAGTTCTAGGGCACTCTGTTGAAGAACTTCCAGGTCAAGAGCCATCTATAGATGCTAGTGTGGATTGTTCATCAAGTGGTGGGATTCCGTTTTTCCAGGTACATGATTATATCCTGTCACATAACCCTTCCACATCTGAAATAAGTCAGTCGTTGGCTATTGAATATGAAGGTATTACTCTTAGTGGGCGGAACAGCAAAATATTTTGTCATTCCTTTGGGATGGCTTGTTAACTTTTCTGATTTAAATTATTTACACAAATATGATAATTGATCAGGGGTTTTCTGTAGGAAAATTAAAGGCAAGGTTTAACTTAATCTCCATCCTCAGATAGTACTCTTTAGCTGTTACGGTTTTCCCCTTTCCACTTCCTACATATGCAGAATGGATACTGAGAGCAGTCATTTCTCTCTCCCCTCTACCTTTGACAAGAAGTCCTGGAGCCTATATCTGCTCATACTCAGACTTTGAAAGCTAAGAAGTTTAAAAGACAGAGACTGAAGGCCTCTCAGGTTATATTAGTTTCTCCTACCTGTGGCTTTTCTCTTATTAAGGATTCCCCCATGTTTCCTGAGCCTCCTTACCTGCCTTGATCTTGTACAGTTAAATCCTGTGACCTCTCCCAACTCCTTTTCAACACTCTTGGGAGCATGGCATTATAAACTGCCCAGCATCTTTCCTTTTATTTTGAAGACATGAGCCTAGACACAGTCTGTGATGGAAGGATTTTCTCACATAAGACACTGATGTCTACATTTTACAGTCGAAGTGCTGCTTCTGATAAGTGTATGTTCTTGTACCTCGTAGACTTGCAGGTCTTCCCACCAAGGCCTAAAGAAAGACCCTCCATCTGCGATTTAAGCTGTTAGAACTTCTAGCTTAATTTCTGTTAAATTCCTCTCTCTTTGTACTCAAGGTAGTTTTGTCCCCAGATCCTTCCTACCTTTTGCTTTACTCTTTACTATGAGAGAACTCTAAATATATTTCTTTTCATTTTTCAACCCTCTCTTCTATCTTTAAAGTTAAGGAAAGAAGGAAAGTTAAGAAAAGAGAACCCTAAAAAAAAAGAAAAGAGAACCCTAGTGACTACCAAATCCCCTGGCTGGAAATCCCTTCATTACTACCATTTATGGCATTTTGAAGGCTAGACTTAGTGGTTCAGCTAGGGCAGGGAAGGCCCTACCGTACCAGAAAAGATTTGGGATTGGATTTTAGACCTTGAGCTGAAGTCTGAAAATTATTTTTTCCCTGCTAGCAGTCTCATGGGGCAATTTTCTGGGTTTGAAATTCTGAAGTTGGTTTATGATTTGTCTCAGCGTGGATGATTGGTTGTGCAATGAATGTCATTAGTCTCCTAAAGCTCTCTATGGGCAAATGTGAGAATTCCAATGAAATATAATTCCTAAGTGAGAAGTATGAAATAAGTTTAAGATAAAAGCTAAAATACAGTTAAAAAAATGTCTTGAGTTAGCCATATATCAGATTCTCTGCTTAAAATAGAATTGCCTTTTTTGTATGATATCAAATCTTTGTTTTCCTAGCGCAGGATTTCTCAATAGCAGCACTATTGACATTTTGAGCTGGATGATCCTTTGTTGTGGTGGACTATCTTGTTATTATATGATGTTTAGCAGAATCCCTGGCTTCTACCCACTAGAAGCCAGCAGCACCTCCTAGTTTTAACAACCAAAAATGTCTCCAGATATTACCAAATGTCCTTTGGGGGGTAAAATTGCTCCCTGTTGAGAACCATTGCCCTACAGTAAAATCTTTAATTATGCCTTGGAAAATCATGCAGAGAATTAATACTTCTTTCACCTCACTCCTTCCATTGATGGTAAGATGAGGAAGGCATTCATTTCTACTTGCCAAACAAATTGTTGGCTCCAATTTGTGCTGAGCCTTTTCCACACTTAATTTCTTGCCTATAACCCAGAGAACTTTGAAAATAGAGTGTAGCTAATATGTATCAAATGTTACTTTATATTGACTTAATTTCTCCCATTATGTCCACAGCATAAAAAGTCACATGGAAAAGACAAAGAAAACAGAGGCATTAATTCAGTGGAGAGGTCTAAAGTGGAAGAAACTACAGAGCATTCTGTTACAAGGAGCAGACTACCTCTACGAGCCCAGATAAATCTTTAGTTAACTTGAGGGATTGGTGATTCTATTTTTAAGAAAAATGAAAAATAAAACCTGTAACTCCAGAACTTGAGCCTTATGTATAGATGAAAAACAAATGGAAAATATCAAGGCAATACTGTAAATTCAGTTGGATTTAATATGTCTACTCATTTTTCTGTCATCCCTGTAGTTCACTGTGTATTAAGTTGGGTTTTATTTGGGACTTGCATTGAGTAAATATGTATTTTTAGCTTTTGATATAAAATAACCCTTTCCTAAAAAATGAAAAATATTTTTCTCAAAAAAAATAATAAAAAAAGGAAAAATATTTTTCTTGTATTTCACTAGGCAGCATATATATAGAAGTTGTACTGTTCTTCTAGGCTTTAACTTACATAGGTAAATATTGCCAACTCGGTCTTGGGAAGGACCATCTCTACTTTTCTTGCTATGATTGAATTATGTCTGTATCTGCTTGCCTCCTTCCCTAGACTTTTCCATTCTGCATTCTCAGCTCACTTTGTCCTTTTTCATTTGTGACCAAACCATTTGTAGAGCTACAAAATGGTATCCATTCTTATTATGAGATAGTGTGAATTTTACCTAGAAGTCTTAACACTTTCTGTGGTTCTAAAATTACTGTCAACAATAAACATAACTCTAGAAGTAGTCCTTCCTTCAGTATTTTTAGTTTGTTTCCCCCTAGATATAAAAGCATTCCTTTATGAGGCCTAACACATTAGCCCCCACAGAGTTCGTAAAAAGCCAGCTTCTCTAGAATATAGATTACTCTTATGGGAGAACTACCAAGAACTCTGATTAATGGCTGTGTGGCCTATGTGTTGTGCAGAAGGTCCCAGTGAGTTAAGGGCTTTTTGGAACTATTAATTATGACTATAATTTATATCTCTTTGCTTACCTGATGAAACTTTCTTCTTTGTATATAATAAAATATGTATATATATTTTTTTCTTTAGTGAAATCTTAACCCTTAGAAGGGTCCTGACAATTTTGATCTCGCAGCCAAATTTCTGGAAGTTGAGATTTTTCAGCATGAAGAGCAAGCACACTTAGAAGGAATATAGGCAAAGAAAAAATTTTGTGCCTATATCAAGTTAAGTATATACATTTAGAGAGATTTGACTGTGATAGCTAAGTAAAGTCAAACCCAATTGGAGAATTAGAAAATGTGCTACTTCAAGGAACTAAATTTACCTTGCAGAAGTATTAATCACCTTAATAAAAATAATGATACAGTTTCTCTGCAAAATCAGATGTCAACATAAGCTATGGATAATATCTAACAAAATAAACTGCCCTCAGTAAATCCATTAATAAATTTGGTTTCTACATTAACTTGCTTGCCCTATTATTTCTTATTTGGCAGTGGGTCTCTTTACAGAGTTTAACAAGTTGTTCCAAAATTCCTAAAATACACTTCTTGCTGTGTCTCTCTCTGTCAAATAAATAAGTAATCTTATAAAAAAAAAAAATACACTTCCACACAGATACCACCTAGGATGAAGTGCCTTGGTAAACATCCCAGGCTCCTTCAGTTGCACTCTAAGGGACTACGACCTTAGTATAAGATTAATGAGAAACAGATTGGTCCTCACAAGGCCTGATGTGTCCAGCTTTAAGTCATCAGTTTCCGGACGTTTTAAAGTTATCTAGGAATGCTAATGCAACTGACAAGCAAAAATAAATCACTGGAGAATTTTTTTTATTTTAAGTAGGCTCCACACCCAACCTGGGTCTCGAACTCACAACCTCAAGATGAAGAGTCACATGCTCCACTGACTGAGCCAGCCAGGCGCCCCAAATCACTGGAGAATTTTAACATCCCAAGTCTTAAATTAGCTCTACAATTTCTCATATACAATATCAAGCACTCAAAAACTAACCATCAGGAAAAATAGAGTAGGAAGCTTCAAGGATTCATTCTTCCTGAGGCAAAAATGTTCAGAAACAACTTGGTCAGAACTAGGTTTATAGCAACCAAGCAAGTGCTCAATCAAGAGAAGGCAAACTAAAAACTAGGAAATCTTTTTGGTGTTTTACTTGCCCTTGCTCCATTCCTTTTCCCAGCTCCACGGTGGTCAGACTGCAGCCCACATTCTCAGAGCAGAGGGACCCTGTTCACTGGTCCTGAGGGCACAGAGGATCTCGTAATCTCTCTTTTTTTTTTAAGATTTTATTTATTTATTTGACAGACACAGAGAGAGAGGGAACACAAGCAGGGGGGGAATGGGAGAGGGAGAAGCAGGCTTCCTGCCGAGCAGGGAGCCCGATGCAGGGCTTGATCCCAGGACCCTGGGATCATGACCTGAGCCGAAGGCAGACGCTTAACGACTGAGCCACCCAGGCGCCCCAGATCTCTTAATCTCAAAAAATTGTTCTGTCTGGGGCAAACCAAAGGCCTGAAGCAAGGCACTTGCCTTTGTGTCATCTAATTCACAACTCGGGGTGGAAAAGTGGCAGGCATTTCTCAAAACTATGATAAGGCAAATGAACAACCTGCTGCTTCCTGCAGCAAAAGATGATAGTTGAGGTAAAATAAAGGGGTGCCTAAAGCCTGAGAGGGAAAAGACAGGAGACAATTTCTTGAGGAAATTAGGCCATTCAAAGACAATGTATACTGGGGAATTGAGAAAGCCTCTCACGTCCAGGCCAATTTACGTACCTAGAGAAGACCCTAAGCTTTCGCTACTGCTGACTGATCTTTAGGTTCGGCACAAGCAGAAAGTGAAAGCTAAGGTAGATTTAAAAAAAAATTTTTTTTAAAGATTTTATTTATTTCAGAGAGAGAGTACACAAGCAGGGGTGGGTGGGGGTAGAAAGGCCACGGGAGAGGGAGAAACAGGCCTCCCGCCGAGCAGGGAGCCCGACGCGGGGCTCGATCCCAGGACCCTGGGATCATGACCTGAGCCGAAGGCAGACGCCTAACGGCTGAGCCACCCAGGCAGCCTGCTAAGGCAGAGTTTAAACGGCCTAGCTAAGCACTGAAGGTGTGCTCCCAACAGTCTGCAAAAACTGGGAGGAGTTTTTTTTGTCTTTTCTTCCCTTTTTTTTTTTTTTTTAGTTCTTGTTTTATTTTTTGGTTATTGGCATTCAAGGAAATCTGTCAGCAGTAATACTAGCTGACTGCAAAGCAAAGAGCGCCTTCAGAGACTACCTAAGTCAGAGAGTTGAGATTTGAAAGTAGTTTAGAAAAGTGGGCGCCTGGGTGGCTCAGTCGGTTGGGCGACTGCCTTCGGCTCAGGTCATGGTCCTGGAGTCCCGGGATCGAGTCCCGCGTCGGGCTCCCTGCTCGGCGGGGAGCCTGCTTCTGCCTCTGACCCTCCCCCCCTCTCATGTGCTCTCTCTCTCTCAAATAAATAAATAATCTTAAAAAAAAAAAAGAAAAGTAACAAACCATTAGTGCCACAGCAAGCAACAGAAACAAACCCTGAGGCGTGAAGACTGATTTCCAGGATGTCACATTATAATACTAAAAAAATTTTAAGATTTTATTTTTTTGAGAGAGCACGTGTGCACACAAGCAAGGAGGGGCAGAGCGGGAGGGAGAGGAAGAGGGAAAGAATCTCAAGCAGATTCCCCGCTGAGTGGGGAGCCTGATGCTGGGCTCAATCCCACAACCCTGAGATCATGACCTGAGCTGAAATCAAGAGTTGGACAATGAGCCACCTAGGTGCTCCAATACTAAAAACTTTTAACAAAAAACTAAGAAGTATGCAAAGAAACAAAGTATGGCCCATTTACAGAAGAAATTAACACAAACCATCCCTTATGAAGGACAAATATTGGACTTTAAATGAACTGTCTCAAATATGCTCATAGAGCTAAAGGAATTCAGGAGGGCAATGTCTCAACAAATAGAGAACATCGGTGAAGAAACTAAAGAAGAGCCATACAAATTTTGAGCTGAAACATATCAAAACAAATGAAAACACACACACAAATAGACACACACACACACAAAACACTAGAGGGTTCCAACAGATGTGAGCAGGCAGTAGAAAGAACCAGTGAACTTGAAGCGAGGTTATTGAGAGTGTCTAATCCAAAGTGCAGAAAGAAAAAAGAATGAAGGAAAATAAACAGAGTTGAAGAGACCTGTGGACCACAATGAATCATATCAACATTCTCAAAACGGGAGTACCAGAAGAAGAGAGAAATGGGCAGAAAGAATACTTGAAGATAGAATAGCTGAAAAGTTCTCAAACTTATTACAACACTTGAATCTTTACATACAAGAAGCTCAATAAATCCAAACAGGAGGAACTCAGAGATCCACAAGACACATTATATATTCAAACTGTCTAAAGCTGAAGACAGAATCGTGAAAGCATAAGAATGTAGTCTTCAAGGAAATGCAAATCAAAACCACAGTGAAGTACCAGTTCATATCCACAAGGATAGCTAGAGTAAGAACAGAAAAGAACAAGTATTGGTGAAGATGTCACGCTCACTCTCTCTCTCAAATAAGTAAAATCTTAAAAAAACACACACACCAAAAAACCCTCCCCCACCCCTACTCACATGCTCTCTCTCTCTGTCTCTCTCTAAAAAAAAATTAAAAAAAAATGTGTACATTGTGTGCTCATAAAACACAGCTGCTTAATACTCCTTTGAAAAATAACTTTGTATACAAGGAGATAGATCTGGACCAAAAAAAAAGAAAGATAATGGAAACAAATCACAGAAATTTCAGCAAATGGATCTGCAAAACAAGATCTTTCAAAATCAGACATTTAAAGAATTTAAAGACATGAAATATTTTGAATGAAAACTGGAAATTATAAAAAGTCAGATGGAAATTCTAGAACTGAAAAATTCAACAAATTATAAACACAGAGAATGGGCTTAGTCTGCTGGATAGTTAAGAGTTAAATTAGAGGGAGTTTTAAAAAGTGGATGATAGGTTAGAAGAAAATAGTTACACTGAAGCATAACAAGACAAATGGACAAGAAACCCAAAGAAATGGTATGGTGAAAAGGTCTAACGTACATGTAATTAGAACCTCCAAAGGAAGGAGAGAGAATGACTGAAGCTCTGTAAATCTCCATCAGGATGAACATCAAG